ATAAAAAGATGGACATCGAACTGACCTGCGGATGCAGCCAGATTGCAACTAGCCTTCCTGTTTCACACCTGGGTTTTTATCAGGCAAATCCAATGTGCTTTTATGATATCTCCTGCGTGTTGTCTTGGATTGAATTGGCGGGCAAAAAAGTTTTTGCTCTCTCGTTTAAACAAACGCCTCATTTCTGCGCAAAAAGAAATTGTGCTTCTGCATAATTGTCTCTTCTCTCTTCTCTTCGCTCAAAAGAAGATTCTCTGTCTTCCCACGTCGCCCGTCACATATCTGTGACTGCGACTGCAACCACAAGGCCTGATGCTTCAAAGTAACCACTTCAACTGCAAATAATCTTTGCAGAATCTTATTATATGTGATGCCACTTATCAAATTACGTTGGTTAAATTTGGGACAGTAAGCCAGTGAATGATAAGGATGTGTTAGAGGCAGTAATCATAGATTCATATATGGGATTTTTACTTCTAACTTATCTTTTTCATGACTACTCAAGAGACAAACTCTGCCAAAAACTTCGCTCTCTCTGGTTTTTTTTTTTTTTTTTCCTGGGGTCAGGGCTGGGCATTCCGCTTTGCCTCTAGACTAGCTTGCAATATCTAGGACTTTATAAACAATGTGGATTATTTTATTATATACTATATCATATAATGGCCTCTTATAATTGATGTTGTATGTTATATATATATATATATATTTATATATATATATCATAGATTGCGATCTCTACCGCAATTTCTTCACACACTGCCATAGTTGGGCACATAATCAAAGTGTCTCTGTAAATTTCATTTTCAATCTTTTGAGATTGTTGTAAAAATGTCCGTGAAATGATGGGAAGGATGTAAAAAAACTACTACTTCTGATCTTAAATATAAAAATTAGTTGACTAATTTAAGTAAATTAAATAAATAAGTTAAGTTAGTTATCTGTAATAAATAGGTGTTGTTTTTTCTAAAATATTCTTACTAATTAAGCGTATTGGCTAGAATTACCATTATTAGAATAACTATCTTGAAAAAAAATACATAAATACGAGAGACAAAGTAGATCATGATCTTATATTTAATATCAGAATAAAAATTAAAATAAGTTTTATATTAAGGATAAGAGGTAGAACAACAAAAACCGGATCCTTTAAATTAATCATGTGTTGAAAACACTTCTAGATTCTCTTATGGAGGGAGAGAGAAAAGAAGCATATGATGAGAGAAGTGAATGTGGATGTAACAGTAGGCCCAAAGTGTCCACAGAGCGGGGCTGGAGAATCTGGAAGGCCCACTTAATTGGGGAAATTAGAAAAAGAACAACAAAGATAGGTCCCCGCCACCTTCGCGTCGCCATTGAACTGGTCATAAATCGTAAGAGCATGCGTCATGTGCCCGGCTCACGCCCCACACGATGATGACCCTTTTGCCACGCGCCTCTCCCTCGTGTTTCCTTTCCTCACTTTTCAATGTATATGAACTTCTAAATGGGCATACTTGAAATTAAAATATAGAAAGACAATTGTAAAGATTACGTATCTCATATGGGCATTGTCAACGACAATCTATAAGAAACTTCACTTTTATGCTATACATCAATTTTAATGTCATTGGAACAATTTTCATTTTATGTTCCGAAGCCAATTCAAAATCAGATGCAAGTGATTTGTCGTATATAGTACTATCTTGGCCGTTTGTTTATACTTTAAAAAACATTGATTTTGATTAAGTTATATAAGAGAAATGCTGGAACAACTTTAATTTAAATTATTAAATTTATAACAGTTTGTTTCCAAAAAAACTGTTCTTAACTCATATTAATAAGATCTGGCCCCCAAAAAAAACATACTACTTATAAACTAAAAGTGAGATGATTCTTTGAACCCCACCCCCACAATGAAGACGCGTTAGGCTTGTTAGTAGTCTTTGCAGTGCTGCTTTGAATTAATTGTGGATAATTGATTTTGTGTTATATTCCTTCTATTTTTATTTATAAGTTTTAAATTAAAAAAAAATCTATTTTATACTCGAAGTTTAATTTATGATTTGTTTGAGCATTTAATATATTTTTTAAAAAATTTTCTTAATTATTTATTCTCGTTCATTTACTATGCTCTTATTTATCACATTTTTTATATATTTTTTCATTTATTATAAAGGTATACTTATAAATAAAAGTAGATTTCTTACTTATTTATTTTATTTAATTTATTTTAAATAATTATCTATTATTTATTTGAAATTTATAATAATAAATCGGAGGGAGTACAATTTTATTTTTGGTTGTATTTCTTTCTGACTTTGACACTTTGTTTCTTCTGAAGTTTTCTGATGCATTTTGTCTTTTAAATAAAAAAAGCAAAAATATTTGTTTGAGCCGTCCTAAGCTGGCCCTACAACACGATACCGTCCGGAATCCACTGATTTCCGATGTTTGAGCCAGCAATAATTATGGCGGTGTGCTTCGGGTTCATCTATTTTTTCTGCATTGATCATTCTTTTTCTTTTTGAATTTTATCGATATAATTTAGTCATTTTAGTTAATTCTTAAAGCATGGTTCTGAGGTTGAATTGGTAATTAAAAAAAAGTTGAAGGACTCCAAGCCACATTTTTTTTAATTTTCAATAAAATCTACCGCGTTAAAACGACATCTTAAAATGTTACCTCTAATTCTAATTATAAGAGTCAGTTGACTAATTTAAGGAAATTAAAGAAATAAATTGAGTTAGTTATTGGTCCTAAATAGGTGTTGTCTTTTCTAAGATATCCTTACTAATCAAGTGTATTAACTAGAACTATAATTATTAAAAGGACTATTTTAGAAAAAAATTGAGTAAATGTGAAAAATAAAGTGGATTGAGATTTTATATTCAGGAACAAAATAAAAATCAAATAAGGTTTTATATTAAAGACCGGAAGTGATATTTATTAGCTTTTTAAGAACGGATGCCGATCAAATATGAACAGTGAGGGCGAATCACATAATTTATTAATCTAAAATCCCCCCACAGTCTTGGCGATCAGCTCAGCTCAAGATAGAAAAGTCAAATGTTGACTCACTAGTTTGCTTCGGCAGTTGGCACTCGGCCCCTCGCGGATCCTACTTACCACCTTGCATTAGCCGTTACCTAATAAGTAATAACTGTCCTCACCCCATGTGCCTTCACGCGCTTGCATGAACATAATATGCAGGGGAAACAAATCATGAAAATATGTGTGCGCTTTTTTTTTATTGGGAGTTTTTGCTCTAAAATAATAATGTTTGTTTATGGTGTTTTATTATAAAACATCCATTTGAACAATTTTACAAAATTGTGAGAAGTAAATGCGTAAATTTCTAGAATGCATTGCCAAGAAAAAGTAAGAGAGTCAATTTTAATATTCTTCCGGTTCTTAATATAAGACCAATTTAATTAATTTGATTAGATTAAAAAAGTTAGACAAGTTAGTTAATTATAAGAAAAGTGACACATTTTTCCTAAAACACTATAATCATCTTTCTTAATATCAACTCCCCCTTTTCTACTTGGTTATGGTTGAAGGAATATTTATATATCTAATTTAGAGAAAATTGATAAATATGAGAAATAAAACTAAAACTAACTCAATGATTGAGTCATATATTAACACCGGAGGAGTATTTTATTAACAATTAATTTTACGTTATAGATGTCTGAAGTCGTGTTTGTATCTACTTTATTTTGCAAGTAACCTTTATTATTCCTTCACTATTTCATTCATTTTGTTATTAAATTATTTACTATTTATCGGTTAAAATTATGTGTAGGATTATGGTTATGAATAAAGCACTCCTCCGGTTCTTAATGTATAATCTAATCGAGTAGTTGATGTTGATCCTATATGTTTAACTTATTTTATGGATTTATCAATTTTTTCTCAAATTAACCCCTATTAATACGTTCCAAACAATAATTAAGTGGGAAAAGGATAGGAAAAATTAAAAATTAAAAAATATACTTATAATGTTCCAAAAAAAATACATCATATTAACTAATTTAACTAATATTTTTAATTTATTCAAATTAATTAATTAAGTTTTATATTGATGATTTGAGGAGTGTATGTATTATAATGGAATAAATTTTTTTAAAAAAATCTCATATTCTTCTGTCTTACGTGTTCATTGAATATAATCTCCCGTGCCATAAATATCTACATTGATTACATCAAATGAAGACTCTGATGCTTTTAGATATTGACTCTTAAAAAAAAACTGTATTTTTATAGATTAAAGGAAAATCAGATAAGTTTGTCACACAGGAGTAACCTTTTTAAGAAGGTTCTGTTTTTCTTGCCTTTCATTTCACGCAGGCTCAGATGAACCTTCGTGTTACTATTTACTATGCTTTCAAAGATTGAAATCATTACTCGCTAGGAAAAAAAAGAGAGAAAGAAAGTGCCCGTCTCCGGAACGGCTTTCTTTTAATTAATTCCTTCTGTTTCTTATTATAAGAGACAAATAATCAAATTATGTTGATCAGAAAAGCAGTTAAAATTAGTTGAAGACAATTAATATGTAAAAAGTATAATATTTTTTCCAATAATGCCCCCATTAATAAAGAGAGAGTATGAGAGAGAATAATTAAATTATTAAAAGAAAAAGAAGTGGGAGGGAGAGAGAATATGAGTTGAAGACAAAATAAATAGAGGTAAATACAAAATCAATACAAAAAACTAGAGACAATTTTAAGTGTCTCTTATATATAAAACATGCTATAAGTATTAAATGTCTTTTATAATAAGAAATAAGGGGAGTAATATGCAAACAAAACAGTAAAAACATTGCGTCTTCACTCTTAATATTTCATTAGTCAAGATAATGATTTTCAACAACCAATAAATAAATCAAGTTATTAGGTATCAAATTGATTTTCTCCCCTGCAAGAAAGAAACAGCTAGCTACCAAACTCATCATCAGCGCGTGCGATGCAACCGTCGCGCTTAAATTCATTTCGTTGAACTTCACTCGCGCCCTCTAAACCGCCCGATGCGTGCTGCGCACCTTGGACGTTTTCTTACATCAGCCTTTTGGCTTCCTTTCTCTCACGCATCAGTATCACCGACCAAATTCCTCAAACCCCCTTCTCATTCTCTGCCATCCTTTCGCGCACAAACCCTATCTCTAGCCTCCTCCATGGCTTCCGAGAACTTCTCTACGGCTACTGCCGATGACTCCAAGCACGGGTTCAGCCGGCCGGAGATGTACAAGGAGAATCTCTCCGGCACTGTCGACGCATATGACCGTCACGTGTTCGTCTGCTACAAGAACCACGAGGTTTGGCCTCCGCGCGTTGAGGCATCGGACTCGGATCCACTCCCGAAGCTTCTGGCAACAACTGTTAAATCCCGCAAGAATGATATCACCATAAAGGTTTGCGGTTTTCCCCCTGTTAATCTGGTCATTAGGCTACTTAGTAGTTGTATGGCTCTATAGTTGAGTCAGCATTGGATGATGATAGTTGGTTCATGCGTTGACTTGGTGGTCTGATATAATTTGACAGACTAAAATTACCATATGCGAGGCACGAGAGGAGGCTGGCTTCTTGGATGGCGACGTGTTGATTTTCCCGGAAATGATCAAATATAGGTAAATCTTCTGAATATGTTACGATCTTAGTGCTACTTATGTTAGCTTTCGCGGAAGATATCATTGATTAGTCACTTTCTTTTGGCGTTAAGCCCCTTTTTGTATTTGATGAGCTGAAGCTGGACCTGATTTATCTCTGGATTTATTGCTCGGGACTGAATGTCCTTTTCGTGTAATAAGAGATAAGCCGTAGCTGAAATTTAGCTTGTTATAGTCTAACTATCCGATCCGACTATCAGAATATTAGTTTCTCTGGGAAGTATTAAGTGTGAATATCTTACAGCTTCGTAAATCTTGGAGTCGCTTAAAGTAGGTTTTCTTTGAATCCTCGAAGGCTTGTCTGTTTTTTGAATTCTGGCAGGAATTCAAGAAATTAAGGAATCTTGTATGAGGTATGTTCTGTTATTTCTGAGGTATTCTCTTTTTTGATTGAAGGGGTTTGACGGAGTCAAATATCGATAGCTTTGTTGAAGATGTTATGGTGAATGGTAAACCATGGTCTGCTGGAGTGCAAGATGAGATCGCTGGTTCATATGTTTTCGTTTGCGCTCATGCAAGTCGTGATGTTAGATGTGGTGTTTGTGGACCAGTTCTCATTGAGAAGTTTAACGAAGAAATTGAGCTTCGAGGTTTGAAGGATCAGGTATTTGTTTGGGCCTGCTCTCATGTAGGTGGGCATAAGTATGCTGGCAATGTAATCATATGCAGTCCGGGGTCAGATGGAAAAATTATGGGTCACTGGTAGGCTCTCAAATCTAATATTCTCTAATGTTGAGGAGATTCAATGTTGATATTTTAATTGTAGCTCTGGATAATTGATTTTAGGTACGGTTATGCTACTCCTAATGACGTGCCCGAGTTTCTGGATACTCATATTGCAAAAGGAGAAGTCATACAACGCCTTTGGAGGTCAGTGCTTATGTAACTGTGCATCTTGTATCATGCAATGAAGTTATGATTTGAAGGATATAACTGCTTGTAAAAACAAAATGCCGGTATAATCTTTTGGGAGATGTGAAAGGATTCTAGTTTTGTCAGCTAAATATATATATAGCCTGGTGCAGTCAAAGGTTCTAATGCAACTTGCTGGAGGTTTTGATGCCTATTGCTGGTTGAGTTGCAACTTTTCTTCCAGTTGCCACCCTGCCAGTGCTTATTTGGTTGATGCAAGAAGCTAACCGCAAGCACCTTGCATGTGCTAGGTTTATTTTACACAGATACAGCCCCGAGCCAAGCCAACAACTCTTGACTATTAGGCTAAGGATTTTAAACATGTGAAAAACCAGAAAACCCATCGTGATAACTTTTTGAGTTAGTGATCTTGGGCGTCGTGCACTTTAATTATTACCCCCGGTCCTAATTATAAGGTCTTGTTTGTAGATTAAAAACGAGGTCTTATAATTAAGACTGAAGTTAGTATTATTTAGGTTGTAAGTGATCAAAGATTGGATAACAAAGGGGGGAAACTCGTCTGAACATTATGCTTTGGCATTTGACTACATGATCAACTCATTGCCATTTGATCTTCTGAAGCAAGGGATGTATAGCTAACTTTAGCTCTTGTTGTTGCTCGTAGCCACTCATGACAGCCTATTGTGCTACAAAACAGATGTGATGTAGGTATAGCTTGGCTGTAGTGAGCACTAAATCCATTGTAGCTCCCTCCATTTATTATAGCAACATCTTTGTAGAGCTTCCTGCTTGTGCGATGTGGAAAACAAGGGGGAAAAAAAATCTACTAATGCCCCAATCCGTATCAATTAACTTAGAATTTTCTTCTTTATGATTTACTTCGCACTCTGCTACATCTGCTATGATGATATAGGCTTCTAATCTTTGTTCTCATCTGATGTATTTATTTAGTACTTCTATACTTTATTAGAGTCTAATTACTGTATAATCATGCATCTTCATAATAATATGATAGGAGAATCTTATAAAGAAATTTGCAACATTCTTCATCTGCAAAAGCAGTGAGCAAGTCAGGCCAAAATAAACAAATAAGGAGTCAACAAAAAAGTGTCTGCAACTGAATTACATGTGAGCCCCCTTAACAGATGAACATGCTATCAGTAGAAATGGACTGGATACTACTCTCTTTGGTTTGTTTGATGCCTGGTTTCACCCATATGTCTTATTTCTTCATTATGGTCTTGTCAAAATGTGCTCCGTACAATCACCTTTGAGTCTACGATATAAAAAAGTTCTTTGGTTCTTGTATTAATTAGGATATTATCTTTAATAATGTTTTAAGTGTTAATCTATGGAGTCAACTGCATCTTAAGCACTTTCTTAGTCCCTTATACAGGAGGGATGCTAAATTACATGCAAATTTTTGCAGGGGCCAAATGGGGCCATCTGTTGAGGAAGTTAAGGGAACAGATGATCATAAAGTTCCTAATGGAGAGCTTACTGACAAGGGCAAGAACGAAAATGTGGGTGGTTGTTGCCAGGGTGCTAATGGGGTTTCTTGTTGCATGAATCCTCCAAGTTCTGAGAAAAACAAAGCGATTAAAGAAACCACCGAACAAGCGCATCATAAGCGGGGGCACAAATCCAGTGGGAGCTGGCCCCTATTTGAAGAGCGTAATGTACGTATTGCTGTTGGTGTTTTTGGAATTCTTGCAGCAGCTACAGTGGCTTACAAAATTTATAGAAGGTCAGGCTAAAACGCGCTCTAAATCATGCGTGTTATGCCTGGGGGTTGGTTACCCTCTTTCTTTTGTAGAGACTACAGATGTTCGGTGAATGGAGGAATAATCATGAGAACCGTTTCTTTGTACGATCTTCTTCCGTTTGTTGGTTGAAAGCATTGTAGAAGTATACCTACAGTTCGCTGTTGAAAACACTACATGTCCTTTGTTAACAGGAGCACAACAATTTGTTCTTGCTGTTTAGTGTTCAGTCATGCTCTATCCCCACCCCCCCTGGCTTTCTTCTTTGTTTTTTTTTTTCCCCGCTGGTCGCATAGCAAGTTCAAAGGGTGCTGTGGTGAAGTGTTTTTTTTTTTTTGGAAAAAAAATTCATAAAAAGATTGTAGAGGGATACTTGATCCCCGAGAATGAAAAAGGGAGCAAATGACGCTTTTGCCACTTGTGAAAGTAATGTGGCAAACTTGGGAACAACAATTATTAATAGGAGTGTTTAGATGGAAATAAAATCATAATGTTAAAAGTGATTTTACGATATATATATATATATATATATATATATATAAGTATGTAAGAGAAGTTTTGTTTTTGTCTGTATAAAAATATTTTTTTAAATATGTATTTGGGGCAATCCAAACATTCCAAATGGCACCTTGGTAAATATATTGGGAGAAGTAGGGAGAAGGCATGTACCCATTTTGTCATTCTCTGTTGTGACCGGCCAACTATCTTAGAAGCCACTGGAAAATAACGAGGCATAGTTTGTGTAACGTCCCAGCTTGTTCCTGTCCTGAAAAATCCTCCACGTCAGAGCGCATTCGTTTGGAAAGATTCCATGTTGCTTTAAGAACTTCCAATTTGTTCAGGAGCTTCGTATTCGCCCAAAGCCCGTGGTGCCTGAATAGCTCTGCTGTAGGGGGAGGGACAAGGCTAGATACAAGCAACTTCTTGGGAGACGCAGAATTTGGAATGTTGAAATTACTGATTGATGCGCATTTTGATTTGAAAACATGTATTCCAACGCATTTTTGTTTCCTAATGTTTAACTGCTACTTATTTCGGAAATTGATTATCCCCGTGAATTTCCCGTTTTGTAAAATTACTTTCCAAAATTATTTTTAACATAAGAACAAAAAGCAACTAGACTTTTCCCGTGCTAGAGAATTTAACTTTTTAAATCACTCATCAAGAAATATAATAATGTGAAGGTGAATGTTCGTTTTCTGCTTTCTGACACTATCAGGAAAAAGGCTAGTGTTAGCTCCTCTTGGAAAAGAACGCTAAATCATCGGCTGCTAATTGGACATATGTTGTTGGATATCAAATCTGGACTTCGTAGACGTCTCAGAATATTATAACTTGACATCAAACCCTCCAGGTCGAGGGTTTGGAAATCAGCATCCATAGTTTTAAAAGCTGAGCATACCAAATCAATTCACATCACCAATATCTAATTTGAATCATACCAGAACTGGAAGATGACCTAACCCATCTTATGTACAGAGGAAGTGTCAAAAATGACAATAGCCTAACAATACTAAGCTGGTTATCAGATCCTAACTTGAAGTCTCCTACATCATTAACAGCCCAAAGCAGCACAAGACAACGTCATCGGACTAGAAGCTTCACACACGTCAGTGTCATGTATTGAGCTTGGCAATCATCTCCTCCACCAATCTCAAAGTACTCCCAGCCAATTCCTCACCTTCCTCATCAATCTCCTGCATTATCTGTTGTACAATCACATGATTCATCTTCTTACCACTTGTTGAACCATAATTGGAGCAATCCCTCAGAAGCAACAACAATTCTCGAGCCATCCCTTTTGCTCTCTGTGTTCCATCCACACTTAACTGAAGCAGACCAGGCATCACTCCTTCTCTCAATATCATTCCTCTGTATTTCTCTCTGCAACTCTTGCATATCAGAAGCAGTATCCCTACCGCATGCTCTTTCCCTATCATGGACCCGTCTTCAATAGTCTCAACCACTATCCTTAGAGCCCCTCCTATGCTAGCAGCCTCGCTTAATGCTCTCTCTGATGAATGCACAACGTTTTCCAGCAACCCAATTGCTTTCTCAGCCGTCTCACTTGATTTTCCTGAGTTGTGCATTAGTTCAAGTAAGGACATTGTTATACCAGAAGAGACTAGCAGAGGTGTTATCTCTTCACAGGTTGAGAGGTTATGAAGTGTGGCTATAGCGTCAAGCTGGGATTGAGTGTTTGTGCAACTTTCATAATGGCCATTGAGAATTTGTAATAGTAATTGGATGGCCCCAGATGAAGATAGTGCGAGCTTATTTGCTTTGCAAGAAGAAAGAGTTAGCATCGCAGCTAGTGTTAGTTCTACGAGTGGTTGGCTTTGGCATTGGAGGAGATTCAATAACACTGGTAAAGCTCCAGACCTGACGATCCGAATCTTGTTTCTGTTTAAAAAAAAAAAAAAGGAAGAAAAGAAATTTAGATATTTTACTAATCCGATAAGAAAAGCATTTGGATGAATTCGTACGATTGAAGAAATTAACATATTCTCTCCCTTGTGTTTGTTACTTTACTTTTTGGTAAAGGATCATGATGAGTGGATGGTAGAATCTACTATTAACAATGCCTAGCATTATTACCAAGAACATATTCTTCAGTCCCCCCAACAAAAAACGATCAGTTCATCACGGGCTACTTAAAAAGTTTAAAACTTTTCTAAGACTCATACTATACAAGTTCTGGGTCTGTGACATTTCCAGCAAAATTTTCCATAACCAGATTGTTCTGTTCAAGTCCACAACCTTTCGGGCGTGATAAGCAATCGACAAAACTGAACTACAAGATAAAACAAAAGTTTAAAACTTGAAGAATGGAAAACAAAGAGTGGATAATGGACTGAACTTACCGTTCACTGCCAAAGGCAAGACAGAGCAGAGCACAGAGAGAAGCTTCAATGGCTTCGTGATCTTGAGAATGGAGCATAGAAATCAGAGGCACCATTATTCCATTTTCTGCCAACTTGTGCCTCTGCTTGCTGCTTAATCTAGTAAGCTCCACTGCTGCTTGAATCTGAGCTTCTCTCTCACCCTTCCATAGGTTTTCCACCACCTGTTTCTCCATTGAACCGCAAAGCAGTGATCTCTCTGTGTCTCTCTGTCTTATTTCTCTCTCTCTTTTTGCTTTGTCTCACTCTGTATGTGAGGTTGTGGATTTCTCTTGCTTAGAGAGTGGTAATTGTAGCAATGGGATTGGTTGCTTCAAGAGGTAACGTTAAGCTTTTTTCACAATCCGTTGTTTCAGATACAAGCAACTTCTATTCTTTTGGGTCAGCTTTTCGCTCTTCGGTGAATTTTGGGTCTCTGGGAAATATATAATATCAGTCCCCTAAGAATAATGCTTTAACTTTCCTTATATAGAAGCAAACGCCGCTCGCTTTTTGCTAGATTAAACGTTTTACAAGAATGTCCTGCGGATTTTGTGTGTTTAAATTCATTATTGATTCTATTGGGATTTTCAAAATTTTGATTGGGCCATAAGGCTTGCAGGTAGGACAGAGAAAAAAATAAAATATAGATATTATGATTAAATCATTCTTGTTAATCACAATCATCACATTTATTAATTCTTTGCTCGGATATCCTTTTTTGACCATTGATAGTGGCGCCAAATCTTGGAATGAAATGAAATTGCTTATGTTATAACCAACAACAAGAAATAAAAAAAAGTGGCCACGAAAAGAATTTGGAGATTATAATTAGTAGTAGTAGGTATTCAACTTTATGTATATTATAATTTTAAATAGGACTCATGAGACTCGTGCTTTTAAAGGGGCCTGGCCTTCATAACAGTCGGTTTTATTCAAATGAATTCATAGTTAAGCATGTTAATTTAAAATTATCGTATCGTTGTTGTTGGTTTTGCTACAAAAAAATTATAATTTTTATGATATTTGTCCATATAAGTCTTCTATTGAGAATTTCCCCTACAATGCTATTGAATTACTTGTGCTCTGTTTGTGTTCTAATGAATTTCCCTCATTAAGCTCTTGCTGGAACGAACGTGCATGCCAAATGCAATGGTCACTGTTAAAATTAATAAATACTACATAAGTTAGATTAACGGGATTAAACTGTTAATCAATCAACTAATTAACTAATTAACCTTAGTTTGAGATGAAAAGAGCTTGGTAATCAATATATTCCTCCATGTCAGTGACCAGTTTGATGTGTCTGAAAACACTGGTGAAAAGAATCTCAGAGCTTTTGAAGTTATCTTTAGGTATAAGGTCCTCGGGTACTTATATTTCTGTGGTCTCTGTTGGAACTTGATATATGGCCTTCCCCTCTTTTTCTCGCTTCAAATTAATCACCTGTATACTTAAAACGTGGCATAATTTTTAATGCTACTTCCGCTCCTAAATACAAGAGCTAGCTGACTAATTTGAATTGATTAAGGAAACAAGTTAAGTTAGTTATTTGTAATAAATAGGTGTTGTCTTTCCTAAAATATTCTTACTAATCAACTTTGTTGGTTAGAACTATCATTATTAGAAGAACTATTTTAGAAAAAAATGAATAAATATAAAAGACAAAATAGATTGGCATTTTATATTTAAGATCAAAATAAAAATGAAATGAGATTTTATATTAAAAACCGGAGGCAGTAGCTTTTTTAAATACTCATTTATCCTGCTCCTTTGAACCATCTTAGTTATATTTGTATATTAATGTAAGATCAACAACGACGGTCCCATCATATTCAGACAAACAAACTTTCATTTAAAATACATGCATGTCAAATATAATATTCTTCCAGTCTTAAATATAAAACTCATTTTATAGTATAAATTACACTATTAAATTAGTTTTATATTTAGGACCAGAGGGAGTATATAGCCTCTGAATCCCTATCACAAGACGAACAGTTAACTTGAAGTTCTGTGAGGTATATATGAAGTGTGATTGTCAATTATGTACATGTGAAATTAAATAATGATACTTAAAACCCCAGGATTAAGGTGTGAAAACGTGAAATTGTGGCATCACGTAATTAAACACCAATATATATGGCTAAATTAACACAAAGCTCCCTGAACTATGGACCAGTTACATGTAACCTCCTTGATATTTGAAAGTTTAAACTCAACCCCCTTGATCTTTTATTTTTTTTATTATGAACACCTTGCCGTTAAGCAACTGTTATCTTTTTAACAGAATTTGCCATATCAGATCAAAACAAGACACCTTGCATCCTACCTAGCATCCTATCTAATATAATCATTTTATTATAATTATATTATTTTTATATGAGGATTAAAATGTCATTTTATATTAAAAAAATCTCTTGCTCATTAAATCTCTTCGATGAAACGCAACTTTTACCTTTCAATTCTTATGAGACCCTCACAGCATCAAAATGAAACTTCCAGCCTTGTTTAGTATTTCACTTTTGCCAATATTTATCTTTTATTACCCTTTTTTTTTCAAATTAGAAGTTGAGCTTTTATTCTTATATTTTTTGTCAACATGATTTTTCAAATGAAGTTTTTATTTTATTTTTCTGGCACAAAAATTGCTATTTTAATTAATAAAAGATTGTCAAAATCTTAATAAATATAATTTATTAAGATCATAAAATAAAATTATAACATTGTAAATGAAAGTAATGAGTAGGTTTTGATGAGCATTAAATAGGGAAAAAAAAGTAATGGAAGTTTAGTATTAAAATGTTAGGGGGTTATGTGCAACTATTTTAAAGTTCAGGGGTGTTTTATAAAATTAACTTAGATGAGATGCCATGTAAGATACCACGTAGGATGCGAGGTGCTTTGTATTGATCTGACATGGTAAATTTCATTAGAAAGATAACAGTGAGTTAGCGGCAAGGTGTTCATAATTAAAAAAAAAAAGAAAGATCGGAGGGGTTGAATTTAAACTTTTAAACATCAAGAAGGTTATATGTAACTGGTCCATAGTTTAGTGAAGTTTTGTATAATTTAGCCCATATATATATATATGTGCGCGCGCGCTCGCCCAGAGAATGGTTCAGCCTGAGGAGAAAATAATAGAGTCGATTATACTACCTCCGGTCTTAATTATAAGATCCAGTTAACTAATTTGAAGAGATTAAGAAAAGAAATTAAGTTAGTTATTTGTAACAAACAGGTGTTGTCTTTTCTAAAATATTCTTACTAATCAACTATATTAGCTAGAATTACAATTATTAGAAAGACCACCTTGGAAAAAAATATATAAATATGAGAGACAAAATGGATTGGGGTCTTATATTTAGAACTAAAATAAAAATTAAACAGGATCTTATATTAAAGACCGGAGGTAGTATATGATACGTGAAGTGTAAAAATTTGGAGTGCTTTACCTGAGTTGTGAAATGTGTACTGTTGGGGGCTGCCTGGTTTTGACGACACAATTATTATAATTGAGAGTACAAGTGAAGGAAAAACCCTCAACCAATTACACTTACAGCGCGGAGGCCTTTTGATGCTTTGACTGTGCTTATATGCGCGCGCGCGCGCACACACGGGGTGTTTGGTGTGCTGAATAGTTCTGTGCGCTTGTGTGTACATATACATATACATACACATATACTCCTCCGGTCCTTATTATAAGACCCAATTTGACTTTTATTTGGTCCTAATTATAAGGCCCAATCCATTTTGTCTCTTATATTTATGCATTTTTTCCAAGATAATCCTTCTAATAATGATAGTTTTAGCCAATATACTTAATTAGCAAGGATATTTTAGGAATGACAACACTTATTTATTATAAATAACCAACTTAACTTACTTCCTTAATTTCCTCAAATAAGTCAATTGGGTCTTATAATTAGGACCGGAAGAGTATATGACAAAGCCCTTTAGCTTATGTGCACACCCCTTAAAAATGAATAGTCATGGGATCAAATCCCCAAATGGTATGTGTGTGTATAAATATAGGGGATAAGAATATACTCCTCCAGTCCTAAATATAGTGTATATAAGGGTTTTATATTTAGGATCAGAGGAGTATACTGTTTAATCAGTATTTACAGAAAAATACTACATTTATGGAAATATTATACGATGTACAGAAAAAGGTCAGATCTCCTATAAGGAAAATTGTCAAGGATTCCCATTGAAGTTTTAAAATTAGTTATATTAGGGTCAAAATTTGTATAGATATGCATTTATACTAAATGGATTACATCGATATGGAAAGCGCTTGCAATGAATTATTATAATTAATTACCTGGGGGGTGAAAAGGGAAACGTTAAGGAACATAAGGATTGAAATCTAAGGAAGCGACATAAGGATAACAATTGTCTGAATTTGATATCAAAATGTGTTAAAAGCATTGGCCCCTTTTTTTAATTCAAAACACAATGCACCATTGGAAATTAATAGCAAAAACTTATGAAAGTGAGCAAATGACCTTATAATCTAGGTTTTTTTTTTGGGTCAAGAATATTTATTTAGACTTATTTATTAAAGGACACTGAAATGTCAAAGTGGTCCTTAAAAATCAGTTTTGTTTTTTAAAAAAGAGCTCTGCAACGGGTTATTGGGCCTGAACTGGGCCTGTTTACTGAGCGGCCAATGCAATTAGCGGGCAAATGAAAGCAGCATGCTTCCTCCCCTGCATGAAAATAGCACATGCATAAATTACGTGGTACTGGCCCGAAAGCTTCAAACATGGCCGATTCCCCGTCGTCGTCATCTTCATCGGCAACATGTCTGACACCATCGGTGCTCCCCGGAATCATCTATGCCTGCCACCTAAATTCTCCGGCTGGTCTCGAAACCTTAACAGCCCCGTGCAGCAAGAACCTCCTTTATTGGGATCCGCCCCGGATCCGATCGCCGAGGAGCGGGCTCAAACCAATCGCCGCAGAAGTCGACGTCGCCGTAAGAGAAAATTGCCGTTGCACGATGACCCTCAAGTCCGCATCGCAATGTACGTAGCCATGGCTCACGCCGGCCTCGCCTTGTCCCTCGCCGTTCTATACGGCGTCACCAAGCTCCTCCAGAACTATTGGCGCCCCATTCTTTGGGCCATCCTCTGCTCCATCCCTCTCCGCGAGCTTCACACTGCCCTCGTCTCCTTCTGGTCTCATTCCCTCAATCTCGGCCTCCTCCACGCTCTACTCGCCATTCCCTTGTCCGCCCTTAACGTCACCTGCTCTTCTCTGATCGATTCTCATGCCGCCCTGCTTCGCCTCCTCCGCTACCCTTCCCCTTTGCCCCAGAGCAAATTCGGATTCTCCAAGCTCATGCAATGGCTTATCTCTTTTGGGCTTTTTATTGTTCTTTACGAAAGAATTGGTTCTTTCTCTGTTCCCGCCTTCTTAATCCCTTGCTCCCTATATGCATCTGGTTTCGGTAAGGTCAAGATGAGAAAGTTAACTTCCATTTCAAGTATAAAGTTTCGGAGTGGTCATAATAGTTCATTTGGTTCCAAAATTAGTAGTTGCCTGACTTCGATCATGCTTAATAGGTTGAAAACGATAGTGGGGATTGGATTAATAATGTTCATGATCGTGGGAACTGTTTTCGGTCTTGTTTTCTTTTCTTATAAAATTGCACTAGAGGGGAAAGACGCAGTGATCTCATTGAAGGTGCATCTGCACAAGAACGATTATGCAGAGAGAATTGGTGTCAAGAAATGGATGGACGAGAACCATATACCTGAATTGATTGATTCTTATGCCACCAAAGTTTCTGAAACTTTGCTGCAGAATATTGATTCATTGGCCGCGTATTATAACGTCACGGAAATTGTTCATGGCGTGAGGAATTACCTAATTAGTCACTCACAAGGTTCTGTTAAATCCAGTGTTCCAGTCCAAGCTAACGTTAGACCAGTGTCTCAGAAGCTTTCTTATATTCAGTCAAGGGTAAGAAATGGACAGTGGAAGAATATCTACAGCGACATTGACGGGTTATTTAGGGAATTGGCGTCTTTAATTGCCAGGGAAGGCTTGATGGGGGAGCTTAAAGCACTTTTACGGGAGAGTTTGGATGTGTCCAAAAGATTGCTGACTTGCGGTGCCAATATATTGTTGTACATGGCCGTCTCCATAGTCTCTGGAGCTGCAGGGTTGGTGAATTTCATATCTGAACTAACGGTGTTCTTATGGCTTTTGTACTATTTGATGACTTCAGAGTCTGGGGGAGTGATGGACCATGTTTTAGATATGGTGCCAATATCGAAATCCACCCGGGTCCAGTGTGCTCAGGTTCTTGATCATGCAGTGAGTAGCGTGTTATTGGCTACTGCTAAGCTCACATGGTTTCAAGGATGTTTAACATACCTATTGTTTAGATTCTATCACATTCATTTTCTGTATACTTCAACATCTCTTTCCCTCATGAGTGCTATTTTACCCATCACACCAGCCCCTTTGCTTGCAACAATCCCAGCGGCTGCACAGCTAGCCATGGAAAAAAGGTACATCGAAGCGATTCTATTAACAATCATGCATCAGATACTGTTGGAATATGGAACACAAGCTATCCAAGATGAGATACCTGGGCACAATGCCTATTTGACCGGCCTTAGCATACTTGGGGGCATTGCTGTTTTCCCCTCTGCTTTGGAGGTGACTCTGCTATGTATTAGTTATTGCTCTTAATGCCTATTAATTATCTCTATAGATTTTCAAATCCAAGCCAAGTGATAAGTGGCATTGTGCATGTAGGGAGCGATAATGGGTCCTCTGCTGATGACAGTGATGATCGCTTTAAAAGGTTATATGCGGAATTTGTTCTTGGAAGCACCCATGAAACTGCACGGTGATATTTGAGGACCACTTCTCTGGTTCGGTTTCCTTTTTTCCCTGTTTCTTTTTCTATTGCAACGAAGTATTTGACATCGTTTTCTTTTATACTAGAATTGGTGTGGCCTGTAAATTATGTCAATATAATATGCAGCAACTACATCATTTTTAGCAGCAGCGATATTTACTGATATGGAGCCAACAACAGGAATGTATTTGCGCTTTCTTCTCCCCAGTTTGTGCCTCCATTCGCGCGCAGGTGCTTTGCTTGTACATCATTGTAATGGAAATAAAGCGCTATATTGATGTCTAACTTCTCATATCCATGTTGCTCCCATAGTTAAGCCAGGCTGCTTGCTTGACTTCTCTATAATACAGCTGAATACGGGCCAAACCAGTGATGGGAGGCAATCCAACCAAAGATTTTTTTTTCCTAAAAAAAGAAATTAACCATTGGAAGTTAATAAGTAGCTTTATCCTTTTCCTTGCTGCGTTTGATGCATGTTTCAAATCCGGGTGACGTTCTTGATGACATCGAGTCATCTAGTATGTTTTTGATGAGATGGAGGACATCTTTCTGGGACCCCGATGAGAGGACCACTTTTTTGCCCGTTCTAGATTAATGTCATTTTTTGTATGTAAACACATGTAAACATTTTGGAAACAGGCTTTTGGGGGAGCTGGTTGGGAGATCCTATTCGCCCCAAATTTTCTTGCTCTCTTAGTCTCTTTCCTCATGTCTCTGAACTGATGCAATTTGACGGTTCTATGCCAATTGTGAATTGTGCAAGGATCCTATGAGGCATGCACTCTCTAGTAAGTTGTGCCTAAAAAAACACATAACATTCGGTTATAGTTATAAGATCTCATTTGTAGACTATAAACAAGATCTTATAATTAGGGCCTGAGATAATATAATTTTTTTTTTATAAACACAAGAAGTCAAGAAGTAGAATTTACATACTGGTTAACGCAAAATGGTCTCGTCATAAAACAGGTACACATAAATTATAAGGTATATAATTTAAATTATATTGGAAACAAAAACTTGCACGTGGATTGTAAGGGAAGCTATTTACCCTTTATAAATTCACATTAAAAAAAAAGGGATTCTTTCTTCGACAATATTAATATAAATAACATACATAATTCGCGTACATCCTGGGTGCAGCACAAAATTTTTATAACTGGTATAACTCATTAAAGTTTTTATAAATTATATAGAGACAATAACATATTTTGACAATAAACATAACTGATGTATATTGACTGCGTGGAAGTCTTGTCTATGATCTATAGGAGTTGTAAAAATACGTATCCGTCTAAGGATATTCTTGATGATGTTAGACTCTCACGGATTGGAAAGTTGTACCGTACATATTTTTAAAGAGTTAATCCCTACTATTGATCATCTAACTAAATTCTCTCATTTCATAGGGAGCAACTTTTGTATCCTAAATCAACTATCTCTTATTATTGAGGGAGAAGTTGATAGAAGAAACTAGGTATTGTGTTGTTTTGTTGGTATTTTGTAAGGAACTCAATCTTTGATTTTAAAAAAAAAATCCCCCCCCCCCCCACAAAATGCAAAATTAGCAATAAAATTATTAATGGGCCGAAATGCGTGTAGCCCAACAATTCGTATTCTTTCGTAATGGACATCCACCCACAAAAAATGGAAACAACCTTATTCCTTTGTCTCCGGCCGCTTGAAAGAGCCAAAAAAAAAAAGAAGAAAAAGACCTAGTCCATTTTCGGAAAAGATCGAGTTGCCCTTCTCCTGAGCTCAACTTGAAGGAGGAGGAAGAGTTGCGGGGAATAGCAAAAGCCAAGCCATGGCAAAGAACGAGCAAAGTAAAAAGCGAAAGAGACAGAAGCAGAATCGGAAACCAACTCATCAAAATGAGGCGAAGAGGAAGGGCCTAGATATTACTTCTGGAAAAGGAGTTGTTGACCACAATCCTGGTTCTGCTAAGCGAACGAAATTGCAAGAACCCACCAAGGCCTCTAGTTTTCTCGACAAGGTATGACCATCTCTTGCTCTGCTTGAATTGTTTATATGGATATGATATGGCCAACAACAACAAGAAGAAGAAAAGAAAGAAATCAGAGACATGAACCTTTCATTAGGGGAATGTGGCTAATCTGAATACTGTGTGGGACTTGTAGATGCGGGAGAGGTTGTCAGGAGGGCATTTCAGGATGATTAACGAGAAGCTGTACACATGCACGTATGTACAACTCAGAAATCCTGCTCACTGTTATTATTGAACTATTGTCTTGCCTCACTTTAATAACATCTTTAAGGCGGTTTCATCAGAGACCTTTAGCTATTGATTTTGTATACGGTATTCTCAGTTGTACGAATGTCGCGATTTTACGCGTATTAGATCCCCTTTATTCTTCCTATATGTAAATTTGAAGAATTGAATGAGAATATCGTTTACTCATCATCCTTGCGTGTTCAGATTCCAGTGGCTTACTCAAATTCCCTGGATTTGTTGTTCTTATCATGGCTAGTTAAATGGTCTGGTGACCTGTTATATATTACTGTTTTATTTGATTATTTATTCCTAATGCTGTTATTGTGGTAAGATTTATAAATTTTTGGCGTTCTTTTCAGTGGGGAAGAGGCCCTAAACTATTTTCAAGAAGACCCCTCACTGTTTGAACTGGTAGGTATTGTTTCCAATTACAAAATTATTTTCGTAGAAAGTGCATATCCGACATTTATATTGTCATAGTCTCAAGTCTGTTCAAATTAAGATTGACGTTTGTGTTTAATGGAACAAAGAAACATGAACACACAATCATGCAATCACTTATACGCATGCAGGTATATTCACAGTTAAGCTGTTTGTAATACTTTGGAACAATTAGGAGATGGAGATATAAACAGAAAAACAGAAAAACAGAGGAGATGGAATAGGAAAGGACTTTTTGTTAGAGAAAGTGAGTGCAAGAATCTTGAACGCAAATCTCTTCCAATAAAGTAGTCCATTTGGAAGGGGACTGAACCCCAGATATAAGATAGTTGTTGTCAGTTTATTATAATCATAGAGACCAAACCCAACTAGCAAATATCCTAGTGAATTTATTATGCACAACATTACGTAGGCTAAAAATAAGGAGTTATTGGAATAGTGTGGAAGTAATGAAAGATATGGCCACAAGATGATGCAAGTATCAGCAGAATTTCCTTCTTCTGTCTCTATCCAAGAACCAAAGTCAGTCAGTACCCATGTTTGCCAAAACTTCCCGTTACAAATTTATTTGCATGATGTTTCCTTCTGAAGTATGTCTTAATAGGGGGCGCTGTATTAGTTTCTTGTTCGAGTTCAATACTGTCTTCTAAGAAGCAGAAACCATAATGCCTGTGATTTTTAGAGTTTCTGATGATTAATGCTGCCTCTGGCTTAAAGATTTTCACATAGAGAATCAGTGAAAAATTTCCATATTTGTTGTGTCTTGAATCTTGATGGACTAGTCACTAGGCTCCATTTTCTTTTCCATAGCAGTATGTTGATATCTTTGCGTGTGTTTTAACCTCATATTTATGCACATTAATAAAATAAACTTAGCAGTAAAAATGTAAGAATATGTCGCCATCTTTTTGGCAGCGCCAATTATTCCTCTATTTATCTGGTTAGCAATAGTATCATACAGGATACAAAATGCAAATGTCACAATGGCCCGAGCAGCCTGTCAATGTCATCATAAACTGGCTGAAAAAACAGAGCCCGTCTCTGGTTATAGCAGATTTTGGCTGTGGTGAGAACTTACTGTTCCCGACTACAGATTATAGTTGCTTTTTTATGCCATCCATGTTATTCATCGGTTCACTGCTTAGTTGTTTATTTCCCCATGTTATTCCAGGAGATGCACTCATTGAAAAAAGTGTGAAGAATACGGTCTTCTCCCTGGATCTTGTCTCGAGAGATCCTAAAGTAATTGCCTGTGACATGGCAAATGTATGTACTTCTGCTTTTAAAGGGCTGTACGCATTAAATAACTTTTCTAGCATTGGACATTAATCTTATTAGCTGCCTTTGTTTTTATACATTGAACTAAACAAAATCTGAAGAACTGACTTTTGCGTCTTTTGGTATTCACAATTCAGAAGAACGTACCTGTGAGTATCTTTTCTTGGAGTTGCTTTTTATTCACCATTTAACGACATTAAGAAAATATTGGTCCGTTAGCATCCCCAAAGAGTACAAAAGTGGTTTTTGGTCATCCCAATGTAGTAATATGTATTTGTTTACCTCCCCCCCCCAAAAAAAAAACTCTTTTTTTTTTTAAGCTCGAACATGTAATTGCTGTGTTGCGTGATTATGGGCGTAGTACACATTGAACACTACTTTTTTGGGGTAAAACATTGAATGCAGGGTCCAGAGAGGTGAACAATGCAAAAATTTTATGTTAAAGACTTCAAATTAGGATGAATTATGGAGGCCCTAATCTTTTCTGTGGCTACATGCAGGCACCCCTTGGCACCTCATCTGTTGACGTTTCTGTCTTCTGTCTTTCGTTGATGGGGACCAATTACTCGAGTTATCTTGAAGAAGCGTACAGAGTGCTTAAGCCAGGGTTCGCAACTTCTATGCCTTAAGCTTTTACATTAGTGATGCTTTTCCGTCAAGGGTCTGACTTAATATTTCTTGACAGTGGCTGGCTTTTAATAGCAGAAGTAAAAAGCAGGTTTGATCCAAATACTGGAGGAGCAGAGCCAGAAAAGTTTTCAGAGGCTATTTGTGAGCTTGGGTTTCGCTCTGTCAAACAGGTAAAATAATTCTCTTTTTAATGAACTCTATAATCTTCCCTTAGCTTGTGCTGACTTCTATAAGGAACATGCAGGATTTCTCAAATAAGGTGTTTATTTTATTTTACTTTAAGAAGAAGGTGAGTCCATTTTTCTCAACTATTTGTTATTCACAGTTAGTGTTATTGATCGTCGCTCCTAAAGATAGACTTAGCTTTAACCCTTTGTCTGTAGGATAAGCAAAATTCTAGGAGGGCGGAAGTTGAATGGCCTGTATTGAAACCTTGTCTGTACAAGCGCCGTTGAGACGTTGAGGCGATACCTCATACTGCTGATGCTAGTTCTTTTTTTTTTTTTGGGTATAAATAGTGGTTACGGGGAATTTGATTAGTGAGAGAAAAGTTCCCATTCCTCTTTATATATATATATATATATATATATATATATATATATTCCCTTTATTGTTTAGTAATAATTTGTTTATTACTTTTCAATATGAAATATAAACTATATATAATTATTTTATTTGATTTTTATTCTATTTTATTAAATGGTCTGTTACTAGAGTTCAGTTAAAAGGAGACGGAGGTGAACGACGTCTCGTATGCTATTAATTAAGGACATTTATGATTTTGATTAAATAATTTTAAACCTTGGTGGGTAAACTTTTCCTTGCTTGATAATTTGCAGCTTTGTAATTTAAAAATGGTGCGAGCTGATCGGATGGGTAATCATTTTTCGGCCAATAATTGGAGGCTTGGAGGATCAATTAGCTTCGTATATGATGTAATAACATGGTCAAAATCAAAATACCGCTTCTCTAATATTTTGTCGGTCCTTATATTGTTCATATCTTATATTATATACAGATTGATTTCTTAAAAATAATTATGATATCTTTAATTTCTGAATCTCACCTCGCTTTAGTTCTGATCCCTAAAAGATGAAATTATTAGTTTTTAATTTGATTCTGGTTCGCCTAAAAATTTAGTCTCTAAACTAAAAATCAAAATTAAAATGTAGAATATATAAGCATGTCAGTATAATACATATCAGGCCTGGCTAAGCTGGTATTGGGCCCAATACCTGGGCTACCCAACCCCGAAGTGATCAGTGCGGTCATCGGGAGGTCCTTCATGTGGTTTTTATGATTTTAGTTTTACCCTCATTTCTCGTATGCAACCGAGCTCTGAAAGTGGAAAATTGGACGGAACATGACCTGGATACCATAAATAAATGGCAAGTCACCCTGATTAGAAAAAGTGGCATAAATAGGAAGCACAACTTGAATTTCAACCAAGGAGTATTACTGTACAATTCAGCATGAAATGTACAAACTGAGCCACACGAGGGCTGCTAATGGTGGTACACTAATCAGTGTCTTCATCATTGGCATCCTGGGCATCACCGGCATCATCTCCAATGCCTTCAAGCAATTTGTCAACATCCTCCCCCAACTCCAGCAATCTAGCGCTAAGCTTATCCACCTTGCTCTGTTCTTGCCCTAGGCACACAAGCAGATCATTCAGTTCACCTTCACTCTCCTTCTGCGCCTCTTCCCTTGCTTCAGCTCTTATGGCCTCCACATCAGGGAACGTTGATGATCCACCGCTCTTCAGGGCTTTCACCTCCTTCTCCAGTTGGATATTCGACTGCTCAAGGCTATTGTATGCATCAGACAGACTCCTCAGATCAGATTCGATCTTTCCGGCTAAGTTACGATACATGACTGCCTCAGATTCAACTTTGGCCTTTTCCGCTTTAAGGATCTCTATCCTTTGAGATGACTCCTGTAGATCTCTACGGAGTGTTTCTAGTTGGACTCTATCCGAGCCCCCACTCACTCTTTGCTCTGACAGGGAATTATGACCTCCACCTGTCTTAGCCAGGTCCTCAGCCAAAGTTGCATTCCGACCAAGAAGGTTCTGAAATGGTTAAAAAAGAAACAGAATTACCAAGTCATGTCAAGACAGCCAAAACCATGCATTCTACAATGCTGTTTGGTATGGTCTCGAGGCTCTCGATCCCTCCCAATGCATCAATACGTTCTCCATCACACCCATGGCATGTTCGAGTGATAATAACTACAAGATCATCTGGTATGTGTAGGCGATTGATAATGGATTTTAACCAAGACAAGCAAGCCTTGGGGTTGACAGAACGGTATTTTGTAGCATCTTTCACAGAACTAATGCTGTTACGTAGCTAAGGTCACAAGAATCTCACTTCAGCAAATCGTAATGCCATTAGAAACATGCAAATAAATACTCCCCAATTAGTGGGTTTAATTCTGGCAAAATTTCAACCCGTTTCTTCCTAATAGCAGCAAGGAAGATTTTTTAAGGGATTGGTCACTTACCTTGTGATGCTCGTAAAAATATTTAAAAGAAACAGAAATGTAGAAATAAATACCTGAATTTCAGAGCACTGCTTCTCAACAAAAGCTTTAAGCCGCTTTATATAGTCACCGTCACTTTCACTGGTTTTCTGCTCCAATTCTGCTGGAACCACTGCCACATTGATTTTTGGATGACTGTATACCTCCACAATCTGATCTCTAATATCTGTTTCCAGTCTTTTGACGAGTTTCACGAAGTATGAATCCAAGACTGAGGAGAGAATTGGATGATCAAGATTCCCCTGTTCAGACAAATCATTCTCATCTACATCTTGAATATCAGCCATGCTAGCAGCAGATGATCTAGTGAATGCTTTACGAGTCAGGCCAGACCCTGCATTGATAAAGATTAAACTTTTCTGCATTTCATCAAACTTCACAAAGTATGAACTAAGGCCAACTTTCTGGCTCACAGCATCAACTATAGCAAATGCATCCTTTCCACTCTCACTAGACTTGTTGTAGATCACACATTCACCCAAGACAACTGCTGCCAAACCCCTTATGCACACTGTTGTGGATGAACTTGATACCAACTCAAGAAGATAAGTAAGGTGGGGGCGGGCATCTAGGAAGCAATGCACTGCATTAGGGCAATCTGCTAGCCAGGTAACCAGTAATTTCAAGATTATTGCTTCAACATATGAGTTTCCTGACGCACTAGACTTTCCATCCTTGCTTTTCATGGAAGAAGCAAGGGCCAAATACTTCACCATCCGATGCATTAATGGCTCTGGACCTCCTAAAGATGGCACGGGTGCCTCAATTTCAATTTGTAAAACCTGCAAAATGTCTCATAAGATGTTGATCATTTCATCCCCATTTTTTTTCTGAAGGGAGATGGTGAGGGGCAATGACACATTTATATATAGCACCATGTGTTAGGGCCTGAATAGGGGTATAACTAATAGCACATAATACAAAAAAGTCAAGCAGTGGAACCGACAGGAATGCTGCCAAAATTCTATGCAGCACATTTACATGCATAAAGTTCACTTGGAGAAGGAAACTAGTCGAGGAAAAAGTTCACAGTCTACCATTTACTGTTTGTATCTGCCCAAACCCATTTAATCTAATAGTTCCAAATATCTAGTAGAAAACGTTAACATTTAGCATGACGAAATGAGTCACAACACTCCCACAGCAATAGAAGTGCAATCAGCGGAAAACATAAAACAACCTGAGCATGAGGCAAATGTCTAGACACCTAGAAAAGAAAAGGCAATGGCATTAACTCAATATGTCACCAGAAAAGAACTTCAATACATACTACTGGCTACAAAACAGTGTTCATGAAAGGTCTGCCCGACTACCAACAAGAGAGAATGGGTGAAAAAGGAAGAAAAGAACATGATAATTGCGAGACAAACTCAGCTGGTTTCTCAATTTTAAAGAAGCAATCGTTACTCATCAATGGATTATATGCGTGCATCACAATGATAAAAATTACTGGCTTTATCCTCTTTTATTTAGACACGTTAAGACACCATGAGTACGCTGATGATTTAATCGTTTTATAACAAAAACAATCATAAGAGTATGCCCCCACAGAGTTTAGGGTCCTCACTCCGCCATTAAATGAAATAGGATGGAGAATTGCATACCCTTTCCTTGCACTGGAGATTGTCCTTCAATACATGGGATAGAACACTGGCAGCTCTGCTACAAATCTGCAATCCAACAATAGTCAGCTAAATAGTTCTTGCACAAGACCAAAAGTCCTTAATATTTGCAACAGCACCCGACAATTCTGCAGGTATCAGTATGCACCAGAATCGGACAACAGGAAAACAACAAATACCTCAAGATCACCATCAGTTTCACCCCAAGTAAGACCATGTAGTAGCATGCTACAAGAGAAACAATTCCCAATCTTAATTTTTCATAGACGATTAACAAAAGACATGATTATTTAGAATAAATATATGAAGGATTTTTTTTAAAAAAAATGGAAAAAAATATTAGCATTATTCTAGAAATATGTGATACGAGGCCAGTAATAATTTATACTAGGTATAGGACATGTAAGAGCGAACGAGCAAGATAGCAGTCACAGCAGAACACTCAAGTTGTTAGCAGCAAACGGAAATAATGGGAGAGAGGAGAGCTACTTCCATGCCACCATAACTCCACTAATACCACCGCTGCGCAATTTATTGCTCTACTTAATAATTATTGGTTGATGTTTAATTAGGTCTTCGGAATATAAACAGTTGCTGCAGGTTAATCTGTGACAACTAAGAATTAGTTTCGTTCGTCGCAAGCTGGGAGATTCTCCTAGTCTATTAAAAGGGGAAGAGTTGGATCCTTACTAAATCTGTTTTAGTAGAATGTTCTTCAATAAAAAAAACAGCTTGCAATCCTGCCTTCATCAATAAGCTTGATTATTAAAGCACAAAACAAACCTTCCAAAAGACATGTTGACATCCTCCTCAAGGGGAGCACGATTCATAGGGTATGGCTGTGGAATTAGCGTGGATGCCAGCATTGATTGGCCGTCAGCATTTTTCTGATTGACATAAGTTACATAAAAAAAAAAATAAGAAAAAAAAATGAAATGAAAGGTCTTGTGAAAAAACAATTATGGGCATAAATTATGGTTTTCTTCATAACAGCAAGCACAAATTATGATTTCCTGACTCTATGTTTTACGTGATAAAAATGGCCAAGTTTTTTTTAAGAACGAAAGCAAAAGGGGAGTTAAATATTAATTAAAGAAATCACAACTGGCAATTTGATATATCTTGTCAAATTGGCAATGACGCCCGCTACTAAATATGGTGAAACATTTTTTCAAAGAACCATATCAAAGATGGAGTATGCATTAGCAACCTCACAAAAGCTTTTGAAAACATAATCAGCTGCAACGAACTCTTGCATGCTAGAAGTCCGCAATATGATTCTTAGTATTGAGTTCAGAGCAGGTTCTACTTGTGGCTCCTCTCCAAGAAATTTGCTCCCAAGAGCATCAAGGTTCTTTGAATCTCCAGCAATCAGATCACCAATACACCGCATTGCCTACCAGAGGATAAAAATTTAGCAGCAAAATAACCAGGCTTTCTTCATGCTTCCAAATATATAGTACTATGCCCCCACAGACTTTGCAATTCAGAACAAAGAAAAATAAATCGAAGCAATAGAACAACGAAATTAGGCAGAATTAATCTAAACCAAAAAGGTAATACACTGAAACATATGCGCCTCAAAAGCAAAGAGTACAGGCAGAGGAAAACTATCTTACCTCACAGCGAACAGCAACAGGTGCCCACTGGTTTTCAACACCTAACATTAATAAATAGTCCAATACCTTTTTCTGCCACAATAAAAAAGGAATACATATCAGCAGATATCTATTTTATTAAAATCATATTGCTAGACTGAGATATTTCACAGACCTGAACTAGAGTTGTCTTATTCGCCTGTTTATTCAAATCTTTCCCAGGATCAGCCTCAGAACCTCCCATTATCAACAGCTTAATGGTCTCCAACGCACTGAGTAAATTGATTGTCTACTGGCATGGTGTTTGTGTCAAAGACATAAGAATTGCCCACAATTAATAGCATATTTGACAAGGCAAGAGAAGCAAGCATCTAACCTTCTGTTGAGTGAAATTACTTCCTCGAAGCTTCAAAATTGATATCAAAGAATCGAGTCCTACAGTTTCTCTTAGTAGTATCTAAATCATAAAAGTTCACATCAGTATCAGAATATAAACTTCAATAGACAAAAGTAAATTATAGAGTCAACAAACCTGATTGGAGCCATTGTTACGAAGCAAATTGTTCAACAATTCAAGACAATCCTGTTCAGTGACCTATAAATGAGTACTTGACCAAAAAGTTCATAAAATTCTATGCTACTCAATAAATATAATTACAGAATAAAAAATTGCAGATGAATTCTTATGCCAATAATCATAAAAAGTGATTTTCAACTTCGAAGCTAAATGAGAGAGTGCAAACCATACATATCTTCATAAAAAAGGGCAGTAGGAACATAAAAATTGTCCATTAATTATGCTTGTGCATGGACAGATTCAATTTTTTTTGGGGGGGGGGGGGGGGCTCATAGACAATGGGCAAAAAAATATGAAATGATTTATTAAGTATTCACCAAGAAAAAAGTGAATATTGCATGTTTAGTAAGCTATTGTCATCAAGTAAGCATATATCACCTGTACAACAACACCACCATCTGAACACCCCTCCTCTTTTATAATACTGAAAATCTTCTCAAATGCGCCTTCAAAGACAACAATCTTTTGAATCTCCTATAATCACAAAATCGTTTAGAAATTAAGATAATTAAATACTTAGCACCACATGAAACAGAAAAGGAAAAACAAAGAAACTAAAGAAGAAGAAAAATTGACCATGAAAAAAAGGGCAAAAAGTCACCTCAGCTTCACGGATCAGGTGAGTAAGGAGTAATAAGGCTTCATTACGTATTACCTGGAAGGTAAATCTTGATCATTCTCTCAGCAACAACAAAAACAGAGAAACATTATTCTAGTATATAATCAGGACATTTCAAAATTTCTCCCGAAAAGGAAAATATCAAGCAAACTTATCACAGAAGGCTTTCAAGTTTCAATAATAATGTCTGGTTTGGGCTGGCTTATTAGCCAGCTTATCAGAGCTCATCTAGCTCAATGAGCACTCGCCAATCATCTTATACCAGTTTGGATTAAATTGCTAAAATAGCTCATAGTGCTTCTATGTTTGTATCAGCTTTAAATCAAGCTTACCAAACTGCAAAAGGTCAACATAGCTTAACACGAACTGTTTTAATTATGCTTCAGGAAATAATTTTCCAACTACACATGCACTTCTTGGAGTGTTTATCCAAATATAAATTAGCTTAATTTGAACCATGATTGTGCCAGCAGAGCTTACTATAAGCTTTTCTTGATTAAGCATTACACTAAGTGGTTTATCCAACAAAAGTGTCTGGTTTCTAGACCTAATGTCTATATATCTTTAGAAATCAAATTAATGTGCACAGTCAAGATTTCAAGACTGTACCTCACGATCCATAAGCATATCCATTAACCGAGTGATACCTCGAGGAATAGTCAATATAGCTTCCTGTAACCTGAAGAGGAAATCAACAAGGGTGTTTTTGAAGCTATAAACAGAAATGGTAGCCATATAACCAATACCTTTGCGGGAAGTTAGTCAGCAGGGCAGTCAAAAGTTGCAGCGTGTAATATCTTACATAAAAATCATCCTCTGCCTGTCACCATATCCCCAAGGAAAAATGGTTTGGAAAAAAAAAAAAAAATACATATATCATCACTCACATGCACAATCCTTGAAATCAAAATAAGCTCAGGCAAGAACACGTGACATGATTTTAACAAACAAAACTTACCAACAAACTTATAAGAAGGGAAATGCTTTCTGCTTCTCTGGAAAGCAAATCACCGTTCATCAAAGCTGGCTGAACTTCATTAGCTGATCCTTTTACATGATTAATAGGCGTCAACGCAGTTACAAGAGTTTCAAGGGCACCTCGAACCTGCATAGACATAATTGTTGTTTAACTAGTCATAGAAACTAGTTAAGATGAAAGACAAAAGCATAAATCTAGCGGAAGAAGCAAAAAATGAAAAACATAGAAAGAGTTAAAGATCTAAATAAAGAAACATAGCAAGAATTTAAGTGAATATTTTGTAAGTAGCAAGCAAAAATAGAAACCCTTATAATCTAACAGAGCCCATGTCCACAAATCAACAAGGCAAGCACAGCCAACATACTTATACACCATGATTAACTGAAGATTGGAGAACTGCAATATTGAGCGGTGAAATCTTTCAAAATATGTCTGAGGAAACTGGTTTGAAAATGGGATAGATGAATGAAAAATTAAATATTATACCAATCGGATCTATGAAAGAGATGGTATTACACAGAAGACAGCATCCCACAGTTTAACTCCATATTTAGTTTAACATATTATAACATGGATATGATAATTGAGTAGTTAATAAAATATTCACACAACTCAATTTTCAAATAATTCTTTTTCAATCATTTGTCCTCTTATTGAATAATGAGCTTGACAATGTGGATCCTTGAATAACACAAGCAAGACAGGAAACACGAGACAGAAGCATAACACAGACAAAAAGTTTGTCACCATTTCAATATCATCTCTCTCTTCCTTTAAGACCCCTAGCATGACAGGAAAACCTGCAAGGATGCATAAAACATGTAACTCAAGATACGATAAAAGCCCAGATGATGTTCTTAAGAGATGAGACGTACCCATTGCTCCAAATGCTAGCTGTGCAGAATGACTCTCTGATACAATGAGCTGGAGCTCGGTAATAGCATTTCTCCTATCTTCTGCCAGCTTACCATTGCTGATCCGGTCAAGCAATCGTTCAATGTAGCTGTTAACACAAGCCAAATAGCAGGAATAAGTCATGAGTACAAGGCACTCCAACAAGTAAGGAGAGTGTTACAGAAATGGCTGTATGAACCATAAAAGTTTGATCAAACATAAAATAAAAGGCAATAAAAATATTCCAAATACTCTGAAGAAAACAAGTCAAAAATCAACTTTATTCTAGATCGCAAAAAATGCTTCTAAAGACTAAGGCAGATGTTTTTATGACATCGATGATCGTATTCATTAAAGGCATAAAATGAATCAGTTTAAAAAAAAGAAAAGAAAACCATCTTACCTATCTTCATTTGAAGGAGAATTCTCGTTGCCAAAAACAAGCCCAACAACACCCTGCACCAGTACAGGTAAATGAATTTCTACATAAACAGAAAACAAGAGGTACATTTGAATCTTCATAGTCCAGGGTTGCTCGCAACCAAATGAAAGCGCTATGGTCAGTATCTTAAGCTAGCAAATCACAAATGAAATAATGAATTGCCAAAACGAAGAAAGGAGACGAACACAAATAGATGACAGTGACATCTGCCTCTACGCTCTACAGGCTAAACTTACTTGCCAGAAACGCGGGACTAAATCTCCTAAAAGTATTTATTATGGTTTACAATGGCAACCCGAAGTTGTGACTAATGATCGTAATCAACTCGTAAAACACTAGAAAGAGGAGGTTCGATCATAAAGTACATCAATCACAATACATGATACCAGCGCTGCTTATAGAGTCGTTTTCTAATAATTCGAGAACAATGTCCGCACAATGAATGGAGACACGTCAGAAGTATGAGAGAATGGGCAGCGTTACCTTGTAACCAGACACCAAGTCCATTTTCACAGATCAAAGACTGCTGCAGAATCCTAAAAGAAAAGGAGGGAAAAAAAGAAGAAAAGCTAAGGAAAATTAACACGGCTCATACCGGGGAGAAGCAAGAAGGCAATTTGATCGGAGCAAAGCTTGTTACAAAAAAATAATCATCTAGCATTACATCAGAACCCTAAGATTAAGCGCGAAAATTGAGTTTGAGATTACGACATGGAAAGAGACAGGAACCGATTGAAAACAGAACATACGGATCGAAAAAAATTAAAAGTGGCGATTTCTGGTGACGATCTTTAGCGTGGCTGATGCTAGTGCTGCGCTGGAGCTGCAAGTCTGACCGACGGGAAGCTGAATGGCTTCACCCCTCGCACCAGTATTGACGATTATTGTGTCGTGTGGGGCACAGGACATGATCATACTTCATTCAATGCTGTTTAATATATATAATATTTGATTGATGGAAATTGTGGGAAATTTTTTTGGGCTGAAAGTTTTGCACAACACAACAACAGCTGTCGCCTGATCATCTCATTCTGTTGTGAAAAGCCCAAAGGAGTAAGTTCTGGGCTTTCTAGCACTTAGCCCAAGCATTTCGTAGACTGAATTACTTGACCCAGCAAAATATGAGCTGGAAATTTTTTGTACACCAAAATATATGTCGCCTAAAAGGGTTTGGGCTTTTAGCACTTAACCCAAAGTTTTCTGTCACCATCAAATGACGTTGCCTGGTTTAAATGACCCAGCACAATGTGAGCTGGAAATTTTTGGTTTAACAGAAAGCCGTTATTGTCCAGCCCAAAAACAGCTGCCACCTGAAAAACCAGGTGTTGCCTCAACTTCACACTCTGTTGAGAAAAGCCCAAAATAGTTTATCTGGGCTTTCTCGCCATCAGATGACGTGGACTGGATTAAATGACCCTGCAAAAATATGAGCTGGACTATCCAGTGGATTCTGTCGTTGTCATCAACCCATACTTTTTTGTCAGGTTCATAACAAAAATGCAAAGAAATGTTTCGGTTGGCAAAAAATAAATGAATAAATGTTTCGGGGGAAAAAAAAAAGTAGCCGTTGACTGCAATCAGCTTTGCCCTCCTTTTGCACCGTCGATTGTCAGTAAGGGCAACCCCCCAGCAAGGTCTTCCCCCCCCCCCCCCAAAAAAAAAAAGGGAGCAACCCGCCTCAAACACCCCATCCCAATAAATTAAGAAAATATTCTAATATACTACTTCCAGTTTTTAATATAAGATCTTATTTAACTTTTATTTTGATCCTAAATATAAGACCCCAATTCACTTTGTCTCTTATATTTATACTTTTTTTTTCAAGGTAATCCTTCTAATAATTATAGTTCTAGTCAATATAATTGATTAGTAAGGATATTTTAGGAAAGATAATATCTATTTATTACAAATAACTAACTTAATTTCTTTCCTTAATCTCCTCAAATTAGCCAATTGGATCTTATAATTAAAATCGGAGATAGTATCACGTCAATATAAACGGATGTATAATCTATTTCCCAAAAGAAAAAATTTAAAAATATTATATCTATTATTTTTTTAAATTAATTTGTCTAGCTTGTAAACTGATGTATAATCTACATATAATTATTCTACAGGGATGATTTAAGTAATTTTTTAACTTAATTTATCAAATTAGTGAATTGGGTGTTATTAAGACGAGAGGTAGTAATTTACCAATTTTGAGCGACTGCCGTTATTTGTATTCTTAATTTCGTTGTGTCATCACCTCAACAAAACTAAATTAATTAAACTTCTTCCTCAAACCCGTTAAGTTGTTTCATTCGCGACTTAAAAATATGCTGCGATGGTCATCGTTGATCAGTTTATTTTAACATTTATTATTGTTCTGATTATTGGCTCGAAGAAGGTTATATATTGCTACACACACACACACACACACACACAGAGTACATACACAGTAAGAGACACGACACGTCATTTTTGGGAAGCTGTCGCTGGAGAACAAGGAATGGCCTTGGAAGAGTGGTCGGCATACAAGGAATAATAAAAACGTTTTCCAAATTATCTGTGACGTTGCAAAATTGGAGTTTTGTTTAATTATTATAATTAATCTATAGTGCAAACAGGAACTATGGAAGAGATCTTCATTCGCTCTCACTTTTCCCAGCTTCCATTCTCTCCTCTGTGTGTGTATCCAACCCAACAACATTCAAAACCTACTGTCTTTTATTTTCTTACTGGAAAAAGAAAATCAAAGAGAAGTAGCTAGTTTTCTTCTTGTCTTCTAGTTTAGATTCCCACCATACGGTGATTCTCCATAGAAGTTGAGTTGAGAAAATCACGCAAAGCTGTTCCTACTCAAACCCGTTTTCAAACACGCCTTGTAGGCGGCGCCTTCACAGACATTTTTAACTTAAAAAGTAACTGAGCTTTCTGGGCAAGCTGGACAAGACATGCATATAATAACACCGCAAAGTACCTATAAAGTAATATCAGATTATTATTATTAATATAATGATAATAATTCATAGTTTTTGTTGTTGTGACGGTGTTGTTATTCAGGTTAGATTATTGCATTGGTCGTGACTGTTCCATCCACTTTGATATCTTCGACCCTTTTGCGCTTCAAATATGTCGCATGTGGGTGTCTTATTGTCCAGTTTGAATTTCTTTTTATGGTTTTGATGCGGCCAAATGACGCCACAAAATCGACAAAGCCAGAAAGGTCGGAGACATGAACGATTCTTTGGTGCCTTTTTATGCCTTAAAGCTCAGAAGTAGGAGCACCACCTTTTTCTTTTCCCTCGTTTTTTTAATACCATATATGACGAAAGATCTGCGACGTGTAAATCGCTACGCTCGCCCAGTAATGAAAACATCGAAATAAAAACCACATGCGACTTGAGACTTCTTTTGGAATCACCGAACAGTTGAAGATACAGTTTCAAGCTTGATGTTCATTCCAAGAGAAAAGGAAGAAAGAAACTTAAAAAAAAAGAAAGAGCGCGTAACGTGTAGTTTCATCAATAATGTCATCTGGGTGTTGGGGGTTTGCAGGTAGCTAGCAATTAAGTAAGGGTTGATGACGACGGAAATCGGAAAGTAGATATAAAGCATGTATATATCTTCAATATTGTTTCACTGAAAGTGAAGCAGACAAATGGAACAGTCCAAGACAGTGGGTGTGCTTTGCCCTAATGGCCCTATCGGAAAATCATAAAGGTCGTCTCATCATATCGAGACCTGTGAAATCACTTAAAGTTTCTTTTTCCAAATTTTTACGGATAATATTGGATCAACAAACCTCAACAGTTCATTCATGCATGACTCGTATTCTATCGTTGTTATGGACTTATAGTACTGTGGCTGGAAAAGTTCTGGCTCTAGATCCATATGACGCGACTCTGCTTCATTTGAATTGTAGTTGGAATACGAACAACTGTCTTTTCGAATCTAAACTGGCGTTTACAATAAAAAAGTATCATGTAGATTTTATAATTAAATTAATATACATATGGATAAAGTGTGTTAAATTTCTGCTGTGGTGTTTTCCAGAGCAGTGATTTTTATTAAAGTTCTTTGAAAATACTTAAAACATTTCAGTCGTTGCTTGTTTTTTGTGTTGAAGGTTATGAATTTATTTAATTAACTCTGACATTAGAAATAAAAATGATTATTTTTGTACTGACGCTAAATGTGCATCAAATTTTTTTAGATTGCGTGCATAATAAATACGGGAATATTTTGATTAACTAATTAAAATAGCCATGACAGATTTTTAGTGCACAATATAGGGGTGAAGCATTGGTATATGATGAGTTCAATATTAGAGGCTGAAGTGTGGTCTACAAGTGTAAAAGGTTCTCTCTCACATGATTCCACTGTAAAAAAAAAAACAATCTAAGATAGTGGCAGAGAAGGATATATATTAATGAAGAGTCTAATTGGTAGGAGGTTAAAAGAAGTGCTGTGATGAAAAATAGTGATTGAATCCAGTAAAGTTATTAGATTTATAGCCTTGTGTGTTATGCCTTTAGGGAATTCATGTTTTTAAATAGTTTGATTAAATATTTTGTTTTACCTCAACGATGACATGTTGATGCACTGGGCAGCTGATTTGAACCTAAAATGTTTAGACCGAATTTGATGTGGAGACGAGTTGGAATAAACAGAGGGGCCATATTTGTCATTTGACATGGTGAAAAGAATGGATGGCATTGGATACGGAAAATTACAAACCCTCTAGGAAGCTAAGCTACGCACCAACGGGATGGGACTGAATGTTACGCGGAGAATTAGTTCCATATATACACGCTCCTCGACATGCGTGCTCATATGCTTTTTCTCCCCTGCTGCTAATTCGTCAGTTGGTCTGGACCTTCGTCGTTGATCCCCTTACAAATTCACATTTTGTTTTCTTTATCGTAAGAAATTGCATAAGGCGTAAACAAATAATAATACGGCCGGCGTCAAATTTCGCATAAAAGGGAATCCATATTATCGCGAAAAAGGCAACGCGTCAAATTTGGACTGAGGCAGAGAGTTGATCGAGCATTTGAGCCATTGGGGGAGAAACAAGGAAAGTCCCAGGCGCTGATAATCCTCATACGGCGACGTTTCTGTTGTCGACGCACAAGCGCACACCGCTATTGACTTGCTATGGGCCGTACGGTGCCATTCATGCACCCAAAAGAAAATGGCCATTGTTCCCGCCTCCATCACCAATAATGAAACAGTTAGCTCGGTTTGCCTTGCTGATGTTATCCTACTGCTATTATTACTTTTTCTTTTTATTTCAATAGTCAGAGATTTAACTTGATTATATATATAATTAGTTTACTTTATTTTTAATATTTATTGAAAAATAATTATGCTAATGGTTTTCGTATCAAAAGGTAGTTCCGGTGCGTATTACTAACGACAACATTTTAATAAGAAAGACAATTTTGATAAACTAATTATTTAATCTTTATATTAAAAACTGAGAGTAATAATTTTTCCGTGTTGATGGCAATAATCAACGGAGAGTCAGTGGGAAGACGCGATTGGGACTCGGATCGTGACTGCAGGCGAAATCCATCACGGATGGACCAAAACCGATCGATTGTTATATTTTTCAAGTGGTGTTTAAATTTGATCCGACCATTTTTTTTAGTTATTGTGATATTTTTCTGGATTGTACTGAAAATAATCTATTTTTCAAACCATTTAAAAGTATATCTCTGCCGCAGTGGAATCAAGCCCCCCGGGGTTGCCCGAATGGAATCAAGACGAGACACTGTTGAATGGATATTTTTATATGCACAGCCACAGACACATAAATTTGACAGGTAAAATATTCCTCTCCTTTCTTTTTCATTTCTTAAAGATAAATAGACAAGAGACTTTTCTGCCCGAAATTATATATCCATTATTCCACGCGTTGCCTTTTTCGCGATAATATGGATTCTCTTTCCTCGATCTGTTTCCTCATTTTATTCCATTTACACCTTACAAGGGGAAAAACTCAAAAGTATCACCTGCTTTTGTGTGTGTGTGTGTATAGAGCACTATGCTAGTCTCGGGGCGCACTACAACATCATAAAGAAACCAAAATTTAATTATACTCCTTTGGTGAAAGTTTTTCTTGATTTTTTTATAAGTTATTTTATTAAATTTTTAGTGTGAAATACTATTTTATCATTTGTTTATTGTAGTTTGGATTATTTTTTTAAAAAAATATGTATACTTTTTTTATACAAAAATTTTTGGAAAGGGGTTGGACTCACTCACGATCCAAGGACAGGGCGAAATCTCCCCTCCTCCTAGGTCATACCAATATTGGGCAGGACGAGCCGTCAATTATCCTTAGGCATTTACCTAGGCATTCAAGAGCTAGGATGCCTCCCCAAGCTGACTGGAACCACAACAAAGTGGTACTCCCCAGGGATCAAACATATGCCAACTTGGTCATATGTCTCACCCTCTCACTAGCTGAACCCACGGATGATGGGTAAAAAAATATCTATACTAATTATATGTAAAGTTGAAATATTATTATATTTTTTATGACAAAAACGTTGTTATATTTTATTATTTTAAAAAAATTAATAAACAAACAACAAGCCTTATCCCACTAGGTGGGGTCGGCTACATGAATCACACGACGTTGATCCATGTTCATGAGATTCGACGGGTTTTTACGTTGGCTGTCGAGGGCCTAACACAACCCTCCTCCTTTATCCGGGCTTGGGACCGGCTATACAACATAGGCGGAGTTATTTTAAAAAAATTAATACAGTTTAATATTTTTTTAGTTATGTAAAATATGCTGAAAATGTGTTATTTAAGACCAGACCATAATGCATTTTAAATAATATTACATAATAATTTATATTGTCAGTCCGTGGAATAACGGAAATATCCTTTTTTAAAAATATTTGAAAATAAGGAAAGTCAAATGAAAAAAAACCTTAATATCATATGAATGAAAAAAAAACTATGTAAGATAAGTGCTCCATGTTTTTGTTCGTATAATGTTGCAAGAATCTAAATTGGTCACCGGTACTGTATATAAAACAGTCATACTTTTTACCAAACAAAAAAAGTGATATCGAGAAAAATCATCTGGAGCCCAGCTTCGTGGTTTTAAGAATTGATAGTACTAATCGGATAGATCCAACGGCACGACGAATCTTATCCCGTAAATTGCCACGGTCGTTTCATCACCAACAAAAAGATTAGAATTGTATACACTAAATTTAAAAGGAAAAAGGTTCGAGAAAATCTAGGTGAAATGCCAATCACATATTTTTCTTCGGCCGCTCCTGCTAATCCGAATCCAAATTCCAAACAAAAAAGCACAAGGCTCAAAACAAGCAAGGCTATGTTTGTCAATAAAAGGGGAAAAAAGCACAATTTTTCAATTTAACATTTTCTTGGGCCAACTTTTAATTTAAGAATTTTAAACCTGGGAGTTTAACGTTGTGTCATCCCTCCTAATGACGCCCCTATTCAAGACGAGAGCACCTGGCGCCTCAGAAACTATAGCCCTTAATCTGTACATCCCGTGATCATCATACATATCCTGCAATCGCAACCGTAGAATTTACATTATCCCTACTGATCAATGGAATTTCGACACTACAGACCGCCCGCCTAATATTTATCTTATTTTCCCCCCTCTTTTTGGGGAGAAACTTATATGAGTGCTTTATTTTATATTTTATTTTCCCTTCACTTTACATTTTTTTCCTGAGACTGTTTAACCATCGATACAACCCACAGGTACTGCTCTGTACTTAAATACCCCACGTTCTCCAATTTTCGGAGGAGGCATCCGGTGGAGGAGCGAAAAACCCCCCAAACGGCTATAATTGACGTTACAAAGTTGGAGAATCCGGACAGATATGATTGTAATAACATAGAGAGAGTAGTGGACATACATATTTCGGCCTTAAAGCTCGTAGCTTTGTAGGGTTCGACCCTCTATTTTCCCAGATTTTCACTGCAATTTTTGTCTCTTGGCTTCAAGGGGTTTTGCTGGGCTTCTTTTTGCCCTATAGTTTGCAGGGATTCATCTGGGAGGAAGTTTTCGTTGTTTTCATTTTCTGAGGGAACTTCACCATGTCTGACGGGTATTCTAATTCGAAGAAGACTGATGACATCTGCGAGGATGTTTGTGGTCAGGTTCGTACAAACTTCCTTTATCAGTTAGTTTTTCTCTATCTCCTTTCTGTTTATTTTCTCTCAACTCCCTTGAAATTTTGGGTTTCTTTTTGGTATTTTGTCAATGGCCGTAGTCTTTAGTTTCCTTCGTCAATGCGAAATCGGAACTTGAAGTTTGTTGGGTTTAATCTTTCCCAAATTTTTACTATGTTCTGTCATAATGTTCAGGGCGTTTCACTATCCAACTTCATATCGGTTTTTCATTTCCTTCTCAGTGATCTTTCATTCGATTTTGTGAGGAAATAATCTTTCTCTCCTCTCTTTTTTCCTTTTCCCAATATGTATCTACGGCATGGAAAGCATTGATCAATCCGTTCTGTTTTGCGCTTTTGAGTTTCTAGTTGATGGATTGACGCTCTTATTGACAGGCTCCCCTACCCTCCTTATCAAAATCCTGCGCGTACTTTTTTAAATGCATATTTTTTCGGGGAAGTCTTGAATCTTAGGGATTTGAAGAGAAGGTGTGGCACAGGCACAGGCATTTACTTCATGGATTAGAGGTCTGAATGTTTCGAGGAAACAAGTAGTTGCATGTTTTGCGCAGTTATGGTAGTTGTGAATTGTGTTTCTGCCCTGTGTATACCATTTAGAATTTCCTTGTCTGTCTTCCTCAAAAACATAATTAAACGAAGGTTGTGGAATCATTCCACGTTGTGGCTTTTGTAATTTGGATACTTTCATCTGATAGTTGTTGCATAATGCATTATACTTAGTTAAGCATGTGAAGTGAAATTTTTTATTACTGAGATTCGGTATAGCTGAGAAAGTTTGTATTTGCTACGCAACAGGGTACACGTGCAGTTTTGAGCATGTCAAGACTTCGGTGTATTTTGAGAGGGTTACACCTCAATGCCTTGCTGCTCTTATTTGTGTTCATTCCAGCCGGCATCTTCGTTCTCTATTTGCATGGGCAGAAAATTACATACTTTCTGAGACCACTTTGGGAATCTCCTCCAAAGCCCTTCCATGAATTCCTCATTACTATCATGAAAATGTGTCTATGGAGACGCTTTGCAGACTTCATGGCTGGGGAATTCGTGAGTCACCAAGACGAGTCTTTGATGCCGTTTTGTTCAGTAATGAACTCGACATCCTTACTATCCGTTGGCAAGAAATGAGTCCACATGTGACTCAGTTTGTACTTCTTGAATCAAACTCAACATTTACAGGATTGCCCAAACCGTTGATTTTTGCTAGCAACAGGGAGAAATTCGGTTTTGCAGAGTCCCGACTGACATATGGGGTGATTGGTGGAAGATCTAAGAAGGGAGAAAATCCTTTTGTTGAAGAAGCATATCAAAGGGTAGCCCTGGACCAACTTCTGAGAATATCAGGTATAGAAGATGATGATCTCTTGATCATGTCTGATGTTGATGAGATTCCTAGCGCCCACACGATCGATCTCTTGAGGTGGTGCGATGATATCCCACCAATTCTTCATCTCCAATTGAGGAATTACTTGTACTCTTTTGAGTTCTATCTAGACAACAAAAGCTGGAGAGGATCAGTCCATCGGTACCAGAAGGGCAAGACTAGGTATGCACACTTTAGGCAGTCTGAAGTCTTATTGTCAGATGCTGGTTGGCATTGTAGCTTTTGTTTCCGCCATATCAGTGAATTCATATTCAAGATGAAAGCTTACAGTCATTATGACCGCGTGAGGTTCCCTCATTACCTGAACCCGGATAGGATTCAGGATGTGATATGCAAAGGGGCTGACCTATTTGACATGCTCCCTGAGGAGTACACGTTCAAGGAGATTATTGGGAAGATGGGGCCGATTCCTCGTTCTTTCTCAGCAGTACATCTTCCGGCATATTTGTTAAATAATGCATCAAAATACGAGTATTTGTTGCCTGGTAATTGCAGAAGGGAAAGTGGCTGAGTTTGAAACATTGTGATGTTTCCTTTAGGATTGGTGATTGATATGTATACGGCCAAATGCAGCTCTAGTGGATGATAATGTTCACTGCTTTGAATTCAGGTTCATTCTTTAGAGATAGATTGGGAGGAAATTTCAGTTTTTTAACAGAAAGCTCTATATTCATTGACTGGGGGGTTTTGTAACAATACTGTGGGATGTGAGCTGAGCTTTTTAGTTGAGAGGACCTTTTTAATAGTAGCATGAGATTCCCCCAATGTTTTTCTCATGGGAATTTGTATTTCTTGGCCTGTAATACATGTATATTTGTTGTTCAGTGACTCGTCTGCTGACCTGCTTATGCACTTCATTTTGATCAGCATGTTCATGTCTTCTCATCACTTAACTTTAAACATCTTATACTTTTAAGCTGCAAATGATGCAAAGTTCAGAATTTTATTAAAAACAAATATTTCCTTCGTGAAGTTTGAGTTTCGGAATATTCAACGTTGTAGTCGGAGTAAACTCGTGGACTTGTGTCGTGTGGGGTGTGGCAGCAATAAATGGAGCCAGTGGTATCCAAGTGGGGTTTCATTTGGGTTGATGGTCTGATTCGGAGTATTGAATCACGAAAGTTGTGTCCATTTCATGGCACTGAATGTGGTTTGAGCAATTCCTTGCGTTAAAAATTAATTAATATTCATGGTCCCCCCCACCACACCCACAATAAAAGACTGTGCCTCTTTAAATCCCCACCAAGTCATCCTTCAACTCTCCACTTTCATTGTCCGCTTGACTATTAAATGTTATCGTACTTATTGTGTTAATATTACAACCAGTCATTTTCCCCACTCGGTTTCAGCAATTGGTGATTTACAACAATATGCTTATTGTGGGGCGTTTTCATTTTTTGTCCCCCTGTTTATCCTGTCAAAGACGGAACGCTCTTATGCTTTAATTCATGTTTGTGTCCATTTTTAATTTGGAGTCCTACACGTCTCTCTCTCGACGCACTTTGGGCAACTATTAAGGCGAGAGCCAAACAAAAACCGCTGTTTACGTACAAGGATTAAGCTATAAAGGGTTCAAAGTTCTTATTCTTTCTAAACAACGACTAACAGCGATAAAAAATCTGATACTCCTTCGATCCTAAATATAAAATTCTTATACACATTAGTATAAGAGTCTTATATTTAAAACCAGAAGAGTATTTTAGAAACAGCATAAAGCAAGTTTAGCACTTGAACCATGACACGTGGATGGCTTTTCCCCACAAGTAATTTCTTTGGGGTCACTACAAAATCTTTTGGTGTTCTTCCTAACTTGATTCCCTGAGGAAGCTTGAGGAATCAGTGAGGTATTAATAGCTAATACTCGGATCACCAAAACTCACTTTTAGCTGGAGAAAGGCACACGTATATGTGGTGGTTCAACTCACTGGATTGTTCCATATTCATCTTCGAAAGAAAAAGAAGGAATCTATAGGTACGCCACATGTCCTGCAGAATTTAATGCATGGCGAGTAAATTTTTTTTTTATAAGTTTTTCTTCCTAGTATTCGTCCCTTACTGTCCTCCATCCAAACACGGCCTAGCTCATCATCGAGGAGAGACGTGTGAGTGCGTGGGAATGCGATGCAGTGCATATATATATATATATATATATATATATATGTATATATGAATCACAGCATCTTGCAAGTCTGCTCCCAATGGACGTGAGGGAAGGGAAGTAGGAGCGTGACCTTGTCGGGCCGGGGGAGGACATTGAGCTCCATTGAGTCAGTGGCCTTCAAATTCAATGAATCATCCACTTATCATTTCAAGTTTTCAACAATTATTCCAGGCTCTTTTCTTTTCATTCATTAAAGTAAATTATTTTCTTTTATTTTTAGTACGTTTTGTTTGGTTTTGATGTTGTCATATTGGCCTAGTTGGGTACCTCTTCCAATATAATTCCCCTTCAGAACTCTTGATTGAACAGGCTTAAAAAGAGACTGGTACTTCCTACTCTGCCTAACAACATTAATCAGTACGTATTTTTTTATTTAAAAAACTATATGATTTTTTTTATTAATTCATACATTTATTTTATCATAATTAAATAGTGAAAAAAGAATAGCATATATTGTATTAAATAAATTTTTTTAATTTAACATGCTCTTGAGGAAAAGTCAAAATCAGTTGATTGAAACAGGCTGAGAATTATGGAGAATAGTGTGATTGATTATTTATGCAAAACACATGCCGGGAAAAAATTCTAGTGGTGAAAGTCAGGGCTAGATTAGTTGAAACAACTAGAACTATTAAGTGTGAGAATGATATTTAAGTTTTAAAATAATGACAAATCAAAGAGAGGTCTTCAAAAAGAAATCTTCGGAAAATAAATAAGAAATATCCATTCAAAGAGTTGTGAAAACATTTCAGTTTAAAACTGAAGATGACGGTCAAATAAACTTGGACTTTAGAGAGACACAGGCTTCTTTGGTTTGTTGTTTTGAAAGCATTTTTTTTATTTTTAAAAACAGAAAAACAAAAAAATTTGTTTAGTAATTTGTTTTTAGTTGATTGTTTTAAAAAACAAAAAACAATAACATGTTTTTAAAAACTTAAAAATCAAAACAAGTTTTACATGTTTTCTTGTTTTTGTTTTTGTGTTTTTTATTTTTTGTTTTGAAAAATTTTGAGAAATATTCTTCTCTTCTCATTTATTATCTACTACTTATCATTACTAGCGACAACTCTCACTTACCAAATGTGGTTTTTTATGGTTTTTTTTCTTTCAAACATGGTTTTTTTAAAATTATTATCCAAACAATTTTTTTATTTTTTTGTTTTCAAAAATAGTTTTAAGAAACACTTTTATAAAATTGTTTTGAGAACAAGAAAACAAAAAACAAAAACAAACAGGCCTATAATGATCACGGGAACAATTAACTTAAATGAGGTGTTTGCCTAGCACTTTTAAAAAGTATCCCTTCGGTCTTAAATATAAAACCATTTTATAGTGTAAATTATACTACAAAATAAATCTTATATTTAGGACCAAAAAACTACTTTTATGTAAATCAAAATAGCACTCATTACATATACTTATTATTTTTAAAATCACGATTTTGTTTTCACTTAAATACCCTCAGATTGGCATAAATAATAGTGGAAGATTTTGTAAGTGACGGTAACAACTAAGTTGCTGGGCTTTCCATCTAATCTTAATTGTCCTCTCTAAACTTCCAAAAACACTTCCATCATGTTTTTGGTTTTTTGAAAAATGTTTTAAAACAACATGTTGTAAAAATGCAACAAACGACTAGAGATTTCCTTTTGAATAATGACCGTCTGCTCCCATAGGCCTGGTAGGGTTAATGCGTGTAGCCTTAGCTTGTTAAGAGATTTTGGATTTTTGATGTCATAAGAACATAATTGGGCTTCATACCAGCAGATTGAGCCCACAAAGCTCAACCGCCACTCATCGCGCTCGCACAGTCCCACTGACTTTCTGACGCCAGTTTCCAAATAAGTAAATCCCCCAAAAGCCATTCCGTACAGTATGAGCTGAATCCGAGAACACCAACAAGGTTTGCAAAAGTTATTGAAGATATTGATTGAAGTACCTCTCAACAAGTCGTTGTAGTATAGTGGTGAGTATTCCCGCCTGTCACGCGGGCGACCCGGGTTCGATCCCCGGCAACGGCGCTGGACCCGTTTTTTCCAATAAATTTTGCGGTCACCTTCCCATTTTGGAAGGCCGAACGCCACGTGGCCAAATAACACGTCTTTTGAACAGAGACGTGGCCAGATAATCATATCCACGGGATGTTACTCTGATTTAAAGTATTTTTCCTAATTTAACATTGTGCCGTAGATACTTCTAAACCAATTAACCAAATCCTATCGCAATCGCCACGTTATATGGTTGGCGAGAATGGGGCGAGAAGCAGATGCGATCGAACACAAGGCGTATGCAAGGGTGGGTCTGCTGGGAAATCCTAGTGATGTTTACTATGGTAACACCATCTCCTTCAGCATCGCCAATTTCTGGGCCTCCGTCAAGTTGCGGCCTTCCGATGAACTCGTCATCCTTCCTCATCCCACTCATGATCTCGTCCACTTCAGATCTATTGATCACTTGGTACTTGCATTTATTTTCATTTTCCTGTGCCGCCACCGATTTTTCCGCCATGCAATTCAGTCATTGAATTAACGACGTAACTGTTGATCTGTGTCTTGATTTCTACCTGAACATATTCTTCTTTTTACAACAGAAGGCGCAGTTTTGGTAATTGAGATCTCATTCATGAATTTAATATTAGAGTTATTGATAAATTATATCTTTTGTTGGGCTGATCAGTTACCAAGATACTTCATCGTTGGATGGGGGGAAAAGAATCTAAAGCAGTGAATGAGCGTGGTCAGATTCCAGTAGAATCTACAATTTTATTTCAGAATAGGGGAATTAAAAAGTCACATCGATATCGTTCCCCGTATTTCCTCCGGTTTCAAAATGGAGACAATTGACAAAGGGGCCGTTCCTATATAATGTAGTGTATTATTAAGGTCATTCTTTACATATTTAAATGCATTGATAAGCTCCTCTCATGATCGACGAAAACCATGCAAGTTTATGGTTTGATTTGCTGTTACTATTTCTAACTTTTGAGACTTGTATAAATGATTTATTCTAATGGAAAATATCATGAACTGATGGGCATTCCAATACGCTATGCTTCCTTCTTTTTGTTCAGGTGAACAGGTTAGACAGTGAAGGCTTTTATGGAGGTGTACGATTGCTTATGGCAATTTGTAAAGTTTTCTACAAGTACTGTAAAAACAACAACATAGATCTTCATGGAGGAAATTTTACTTTGTCATATGACACTAATATCCCTCGCCAGGTAAAACTTTTAACCGATGGTACTAAAAGTTGCGTACTACATAATTAAGTACTTTATTTACTTTTACAACGTTCTCTCCTTATTTTATGATTGCTTATTTTTATCTATCCTCCCCAAATTCTCAGTTGAATGATATAAAATGGAAAATAATTAAACTGATAAATGATGTCTCAGAAATGTAAAAACTTACAGTAAAAAAGCCCACCTTTTGTCCCTTAAGTTTCGGCAAGTTCTGCTTTAGGCCCCGAGGGTCAGAAAGTCTATTTTGTCTTGCTTTGATATAGCCTTCTAAGTTAAAAAGAACAAAGCTAAAGATTTGATGGTGTTGCCTCCAAGAGAAGTGTCTGATGTGGTTCGCTGTGGTCTATGCATTTTTTGTGTACCATACAAGTAGATTTGTTTCTATTGTAGTCCCTATAGTTATTGCAGTTGTTCCGATGAGACTGCTCATTCTGCACATATAAGCATGCTATTGACATAAAACAACCAAGTTTGATGTTGTGTTTTATTTAAAGGGTTTGTCAGCTCTCTGTGTTTTGGTCTCGTGTTTCATTTGGATGGCGTATCAGCTCTGTGTTTTGGTCTCGTGTTTCATTTGGATGGCGTATCAGCTCTCTGTGTTTTGGTCTTTGTTTTGTGTTAATGCACGATCTAAATGTAAAATGGAGTACAAAATATAGAATGCTGAGCCTACGCTTAAATTTTGAGGTAATAATGTCAGAACAATAATTTGAATACATTGGAACAGCTCAAACAAATGTAGGGGCTAAAACAGACGAAATGACTGTAGGGACTAAGATGAAAACACTAAACCGCTAAAGGGGTTACAATGCAACCAATCTGTTCGTGTGGTACATATTATATGGAACGCATGAACCACATCAAACACTCACTGGTGGAATTAATAGTCTTAGGGATAACGTTATGTGAACCTACTTTGAAACTTTGGAGAATATTGAACTGAAATGAACTTTTGGGACTAAACTGAAACTCGAGTGAGGCTTCAGGGATAAAAAGTTTAGTGTCTGATACTTGAGAGGAGAAAATTCAAATTTATTGTTCCGATTTCATGATTACTGCAAATTTCTTGGCCCCTGCCCCCTGATGACATCTTTGTCCTTCCAAGCTTTTATTACTGTTGGTCTTGTTATTACAGAAGTCTTTTTTATTGCCTTATTATTTTCCTGTTGATGAGTATAACTTAAGTCCTAGAATTGACATTTCAGGCGGGACTTTCAGGCTCTAGTGCAATTGTATGTGCTGCTCTAAACTGCTTACTTGATTTCTACAAAGTCAGGCATCTAATCAAGGTGGAGATGAGACCTAGCCTTATCCTCGCTGCAGAGAATGAGCTTGGAATAGTTGCTGGTCTCCAGGACCGGGTTGCACAAGTTTATGAGGGCCTAGTTTACATGGTGTGTTGTGTAATTTTGATGCAAAGCATTCATTTCATGTGAATGTCATGTACCCTATAAAATTGTGTGACTTTGTCTGTTTTTGTAGGACTTCAGCAAGGAAAACATGGATAATCTGGGGCATGGAATTTATATACCAATGGATATAAGTCTTCTCCCGCCTTTGTATCTCATCTATGCTGAGAACCCTAGTGATTCAGGGAAGGTTAGCAGCTCAGAATTGCTTCATCCTTTTAGTATTATATGTATTCTGCTCATCGTTGTAGAGCAATGTTGTTTCATCTTATCTGATTTAGGGCCTGATTTATGTTGACTCCCTATCAGAAGCGATCTTCCATATTTACCAAAGTTTTAGCCTACTATAACCTGTAGGTTCACAGTAAAGTACGGCAGAGATGGCTTGAAGGCGATGAGTTCATCATATCTTCAATGCGGAAAGTCGCAAACATAGCAAGAGAAGGAAAAACAGCATTAGAAAATAAAGACTATTCTAAACTTGCGGCCCTCATGAATCAAAATTTTGACCTTCGAAGGTAATGGTTGTTTTGATGCCGTTCCATTTAAACGTTACTGTTGTCATCGTTTTCTGTCTCTTCATTATATGCATTTGGCATATCTACCTGACGTCGCTTCTCATTAATCAATGACTTCTATCCTGGAATATAGAGTTCGTGACGTATAAATCAAACGGCGTGAATCTTGTATTAGAACTTTTAAACTTACGAATGGTGTATACGCTAACAAATGAAAGGCATAGTATTATCTCACTTGATCTGTTAGATCCTGTTTGGTTTCTTTCTGGATCTCCCCTAGGCTTTTGACTCCTATTGTATTTCAACAAAAAAAAAAAGGCATAGTATTGAACTGTATTGCTGGATATTGCGCAGATCAATGTTTGGAGATGATGCCCTTGGTGATATGAATATAAAAATGGTGGAGGTTGCAAGAAAGGTTGGAGCTGCTTCCAAATTTACAGGTAGTGGGGGAGCTGTGGTTGCGTTTTGTCCCGATGGTGTTTCTCAAGCACAGCTGGAGGAAGAATGTGGAAAGGCTGGATTTATATTACAACCTGTACAGCTTGTCCCTTCTCGTCTTAATGAACTTGAAGATTATGCAGCTCGCAACAAAAATTGATTGTTTGGTTATGTGGCATTAAATCAGAATTTGGATGAAAATGATAAGGGTTGTCAGATTTCGCAGTTGTTTTATTGATTGTTTGATTATTGAATTAGCCAAGTCGAAGAAAACGGGTGTTACAATTTGCAAACAATGAAGAGTCATTTCATTACTAGCATGCTATCGGTCTCAGGGAAAAAACTAAATGTGGTAAATATCTATTTACTTCTAAGGCATACCCTTTACTAGCATGCAGCATTTTTTTAATTTTCCAATTTCTTTAATCCCGAAAAAGAATAATTTAACAAAAATCAATACTAGGGTCATGTGACGCTCAAAAGACTATAAATTGCACGATACCCCCATTTGCCGGGTAGAAAGGTTTCCTGACATGAATCCATGACATTAAAAAGTTGCAGCAACAATGCATTGCCAAATGACACGCTCATACAGAACCTCGTAAGAGGGCAAAATACAACACTGTTACAATCGAGTTATAGATTCCGCTGGGCAAAAAGAAATTTAATTCCAAAGATTAATAAACTACCTATTAAATGTACAATCACAATACTACAGAATCCATACATACTCGTGCTTCATTGAAAACGCTGGAGAGGTTGTCTTCCTACCCTCAAAGTGGTTGTCCTCCCATTTTAATTCATCAGATAGTCAGTGCTTCAGCCATTAGTGCTCTTAAATAAATCCAAATTACAATATTTACCAATTACCAATTTGCCATAAAGGTGAGCTTACAGAATATTCATCTCGGAGCATTCAAATTAACGAAAGCAAGGGCAATCCTCACAGAGGAAGACCATCATCTCGATTTTCCATTCATTACCAAAAGAATAATGCACAGACGAAATCCCATCTAATCATCACATAGAAATCGCATAAGCTCGTTTGGTGAGGCCCAGATCGGAAGATCAAACAATGATTGATTCAGCTGTTGCTCTTGTTTATGGCACATTGCTTCTGCTACGTCACATAAATTTGAAACATCGTGAATAATTGCTTCCTGGGCTTCAACCTGTACCGTTCAAAGTTGAGGATTAAGGAACGAGAAGCGTTCTATAAGCTTTATGCAATTTAGAAGGCCATCAATATGCAGAGGTTGAGATTGATTCCAGGTTGTACGGCTAAAAGCCCAATCAAATACGGGTCACACCACGTGGTACCTAATAATCTAGCGCCTTGAGCGGGAACTTCTCAGTTTCTTAGATTAAGACGAATAAAAGTTATATAGCCATCTTGAGAAATAGCTCATTCCTACGATAGATTTAAAAACATGAAAAAGCCTGATCCTCTATTCTAGGAACTTGACAGTAGATCAAGCGGGGTTAAGATAATTGACCCAGTAAAAACTGCGGCACTGAGGGAATAGATCTTTAGAACAATTACACCTTCAGTTTCAGCATATGTTTCAAAGAATTAAAAAAATTTCATCAGCTAGAAACGCTTATTCTCTAGGCCTGTATGGGGAAGGCAAATGAAGAAGCCTTGTATCACATAAAAGAATTGATTAATTAACACTTCAAGGCCATATAATCCAGCAACTTCATAAGCTGTGGCATTGTATTTCATCAAACGAGAAGAGAAAACTATGAAACTAATCGAATCAATTATGAGATGTACCAAAGATAATCGCCTATAATGAGAATCTGGGATAGTCTAAAATTTATAGGTGCAAGCCTCGCGCAAGTTGGTAGCTGCTCTTACTGCACTGCAGCTAAAATAAGCAACTCAGCGAGAGGGTTCGAGAGAGAGTTTAGATGGCATGATGGCATGTATAATGAGCATCAGGGTTCCTCAAAGGTCAGGGAAATTAGTCAATCGTTGGCTAAATGAGAAGAACGGTCTTATGAGGATACAAAGAAATGGAGATGAATTTCGATTTCGAAAATATTCGAGCTGTTCTCCTCAGAAAAGGGTAAAAGAAACCAGGGGAGGATATTACAACTAACAAGGGACAATATGCAGAGCTTGAATGTAGCACTGGGTTGCCGAGAAACAAAATGAACACCGATTTCTGGGTTTTGAATTAGGCATTTAGGTTTTCAGTAAAAGAAAACATCAGTGCTCTACTCAGGCGCCGCTAGTCGATGTATTTCGTCTTTACACAACTCCTGGTACCCTAATTTCCAATTTACCTTCCGACATTCCGATTTACCTTCCGTCGGACACTTTTCAACAACCCAATAAGACTAAATTATACAGAAGCAGTAAAGAGAATCTAATTACCTGCAAAAGAAGCTCATCGACCAGCGATCCACCAACAGAAACCTTCCCCTCCGTCGTTGGTGAAGGGGAAGCAAGAGGCGCATTTTGCTCCCGCGCCTCTTCTTGTTCTTGCCGTACTCGACTGGCTCGCTCCTCCATTGCACGCAAGGTGCTCGACAAAAGATCCCACTGTTCGATCTCTCTCTGGTACTTATCTTTAAGCTTCAACAATGTCCGCCTCTTGCGCTCTCTCCGTTGCTGCAACGTTGCCAAGTGATCCCCATCCGGAGTGAATGAAACTTGAGCCGCCGCCGCCGCGTCGTCAGGGTCGAGCCGTCGCTTCTTGCGCTTGTAGACGAAGCCATCGTCGTTGCAGAGCTCCCAGCCGTCGTCCTCCCCTGACGGTGTTGCCAAATCCATGATGGCGGTCGGCGGAGAATTAAGTAATGGGATTCAAAACCCAAAAGGTTTGGCGGCAGAGGAACGGAATGAGAAAGAGAAAATTCAAATCTGGGATTCTGGAGAGCGCGGGAGCGCTTTCATTATCGTCGCTCGCTTTCGAATTTTAGTTCGGTGTCTCGTCTTGTGGACAGCGTAGAGTTCCTCTTGTTTTGGCAAAGTTTATTTTTTTGCCAGCTTTGCCCTCACGGTCACGGCCTGATAAAATTTATTGATAATAAAGAATAAATAATAATAAGTTTTATTCAGACTAGTTACTTATTATTTTGATAATTAAATTTTTTTTTTGGATCTCTTGGTAATTCTTCCAGTTTTTCTATGGATTACCTTGCACCAGCCTTATTTATTTCTGTTTCCTCCAACAGATTTCTTTATTTTCTAAAGAAAGTACTTCTGTTATTCCCCCCGGAAAAAATTTTCTTTGCCAATATTAAAAAAATATTAATGTCACATTAATATACATAGTCAATAATTTCCTGAAATGTAATGAAATTGCGATTTATACTTTCAATTGAAATTCAATATGCTGGTAAAAAATTTTACTCCTCCGGTCCTTATTATAAGACCCAATTTGACTTTTTATTTGGTCCTAATTATAAGACCCAATCCATTTTTTCTCTTATATTTATGCATTTTTTTCCCAACATAATCCTTCTAATAATGATAGTTTTAGCCAATATACTTAATTAGCAAGGATATTTAGGAATGATAACACTTATTTATTATAATAACCAACTTAACTTATTTCCTTAATCTCCTCAAATAAGTCAATTGGGTCTTATAATTAGGACCGGAAGAGTAATTCAATATGAAAATATACTATAATAAATACTAGGGGTGTTTGAATTAGTTTTTAAAAGTAATTTTATGATATATGAGATAAGTATATGAAATAAATATTTTTTTAAGTGTTTATTTTTTAAAAATAAATCCCATCTATGTGAGTTGACCTGTTCTCTTTGGATTAGCTGCAAATTAACAGTATGACTTTAAAATTCTCATGATATTTTTTAAGAGTATATAAAGATGATTATTTGAAATGAAAGTTTTCAGTTGTTGGATGGAGATCGAGATATGCTTGATGGATTTTTTTTTGCCTGCAAAAGAAAAACTCGTGACATTACTCAAACAAAAATATGCCAGGTGATTTAAAGAGTGTTTGATATAAATCAAACTATAATTTTTAAAAATATTTTTACAGATTTATTTTTAAGTATTTTCAAACACCCCTCCGTAGCGTGTAATAAATTACTCTTTCTTTGGCGAGGATAGTTCCTATAGTAATTTCCTTTAGCCCAGCGTATTCGTGCCTGTTTGGGTCAGCGTTTGCTGGCCCAAACATAGCTTATAAGTGATTATAAGCTTAGTGGGAATTTTGGACCGTTTGGCAGAGCTTTTTAACAATTGGGCTTCTGAATTTTTAAGCCCCTTCAACGTGCGATTGGGATAAGCTGGAGAGGGGGAGCTTCTGATTATATGAAAGGAGCTTATGGACCATTCTGACAAAGGAATATATTCTTTTACTTTTCTCTAAATTCATCTGCGTTCTCCCTATTCCCCCGTGAGCGAGAGAGTCCGGCTTTTTCGTTTAAACCCGAGCCCCCACTTGCTCTGTCTTTGCTCGCCTCGACAAGAAGGTCCGTCGGTGGTCGCCTCCGAGAAACTCCGTCGCTGGTGACCGTGAGCTCCGTCCCGTCATTGTGGTGAGGTCGGCTGTTGGGTGTGAGGTGTGCGTGGCTTGGGGATGCTGCTCGTTCATCGGAAGTCGTTTAGTGTTTGACCGTGAGCTCTGTCTGTGGTCGCCTCGGCCAGGTCCGTCGGTGGTCGCCTGCAAGAAGCTCCGTCGCTGGTGACCGTGAGCTCCGTCTGTGGTCACCTCGGCCAGCTCCGTCGGTGGATGCTGCTCGTTCATCACAAATCGGAGCTGCTCTCACAGTCTGCAACTGACGTCGCCGTTGTCTGCCTCTGCATTTGAGCCGTGCATGGAGTTCTTCTCTTCCCAGAGCAATACAACCGTCCGATCTACCTCTGGAAGGCTTCGTTGGTTGGATCAGGTTGGCCGGTTTAATTTTGTTATGTTGGTTTTCCGTTTGATCCCTGTGGTTGCTGTCGTCTTTGAAATTCCTGTGGTCCTTGAATTTACATGTTGTTACTAATTGCTGCATGTTGAGGACCGACTTGTTATGAACACTGAAACAGGGGCTTTATGTTTTGAATTTTATGGTTTTCGGTTACTACAATCTTTTGTTGGATGTTGGTTAATTGTTTAATGAGGATTTTCTGGTTGCATGTGGATTTTCTGCCTCTGTTTTTGAAGGACAAAACAGGGATTAATGGTTCGAGGAAACGGCTCTAGCTTAATGAGAAAATGAAGAGCATAAATGTGTGTATATGACCGAAGGCTTGGGTGTGCAGTGTTGGGGATTTAAATTGTTGAGTATATGTTTATGTTGTTAATGGCGAGATATGTAACTTTGGAATTGTAATTTTCAGAATTACAATGGTTGTTGTTTTGCATGTCCCTAGCTTTGGTCTCTTGGTTTTTATGGTTATAGGATTCGATCTCTATGAGGGTAGGGTAGAAGAGAATGAGGTGGTAACGTGGTGTATATGTGTGTGTCTGGATGGTTCATTTGATAGAGCTAATTAATGGCGTTGATAGAGCAAAGTAATAAGACATTAATTTGTACTATACAAAGAAATTAAGGACTATGTGGGTAATTACTTAAAAATCATTTGGAATTAATTTCGGGAAGTCTCAATCAAAATAATTTAATGTTGTTCTTTCTCCTGTTATATTCTCTTACTTCTCTCTAATATGATATTTATTTAACTAATTTAGTTATATTAAAAAAGTTATGTAAATTAGTTAATTATAATAAATATAACATATTTTTGTAAATAATATTGTTCATCATTCTTAATTGGATTTTTATTTTACTTTTACACAGTTAAATTATGATAAAAATTAATCAATGTAATGCAGTTTAGGTTCAATTTATATGATATATTGAAAATTTAATTTTAAAATGTTCACAATCAATTACCACTCGAAAATAGTGGACATTGATATTGTGATTATATATTTATAATTTTAAAAAATATTGAATAAGAAAACTAAACAGCTTATGCAATCAAAATGTGTTACTTGGTGATATATGTTTGTTTGGTTACAATGTATGTGTTATATAATACGGCTTTTATTATTACATATTTAGGGTTTTGGTTGATTTAGTTACTCTTATCTCGATCAAAGGGCGTAGAGAAATGGATAATGACAAGGGAAAAGTGTGACAACCACTCTTTCAAAACCATTTTAGATTAAATCCAACAATTTATTTGAATGATTAACCATGATAGAAAAGAAGAAAACTTAAAATTTTAAAATCGCTATCATGGTTAAAAGAAATAAACTTATAATAAGAGTAACATCGATTGTTACCTTGGGCCTTGGACTTCCAAAGTCCAGAAACATCATTCAACCATTAGCCCAAACCAACTTATATTTTCAACATATGAACTGATAAATCAGTTTAATATAAACTATAGAGCTCATTAGTCAAAAGTCAACACTTTCAAAGGAGCGTTACACGTAGAGTCTAGAATGTCTCGGGCCTCCTCACGCCCTATCATACCAGATAGTAGTAATTAAAAGTATTATTTTACATCATGATAGTAGATGAGCCCTATGTGGCAATATATAACAAGTCAGCACATAGAACAAAAGCAGGGAGGCTATACAAGCTATAACAGCACACTATGCCTCTGGAGCCTTCCCTGATGGGCCACCACCTGAACTATCGCCTGAAAATGTTAAACCACGGGGTGAGACAAACGCCTCAGTAACCAACTTTCCAACTCATCATACATACTAACATGTGCTCGTGAGGTGTCAAGTGGGATAATTATTAAATCTCAATATATATATCAATGAAAATACAAATATGTATATTCAAATAATCTCAATCATCCAAATCCTCATTACGGGAGCTAACACACAAGCCACATAAGTCTATCCCTCCCTATAGGGGATCAAACCGACCTATAGGCCTATCCCACACTTTGGGGGACGATTAAATAGTCACAAAGATCCATCCCTTATTACAGGCCTATCCCACACTTTGGGGGACGAATAAAAAGCCACAAAGGTCTATCCCTTACTCTAGGGACGAAGGAAGAAGCCCACCAATGTGCACCAATGGCGGCCTTACCACGTGGTAGGATAGCGCTCAATCCAAAATCCAAATAACAACCAACCATTCACAATATAACAAAAATGTCTCAATATTTTCCCAGTATAATCCATAAGATATAAATCATATATCTTTTCCAAACTTCTCAATCACAATTCCAAAAATCCCACAAGACAATTTTCATAGCTCAAAAGATATAACATATCTATTCAAGTTCCAAATATCAAATATTATTCTAAAACAGCAAAATACTCACAAACAACATATTAGCACATATAACAAGTGGAAAGTGGTTACCTCTCGCCAAAGCAATACTAAGGATTACCACAAGGTCAATCCTTTGCTCAACCAATAATTAATCTACACAATTAATATAACACATATTAATATAAACTAATAAATTAATTAATTAAACTTCTCTATATTATTTAAATTTTTTTTTTACTCTAAATTCCTGCAACTCTCATAACTCAAAAATTATTAAGTATTTTAAAAACAACTTAAAATTTCTAACAACCCCAAGTTATTTATTTACCACCTCCAAATTATTTACCTTAATAAAAAGGATTTTCAACAATTTCTAAATATAAAATTATTATGTTCTAAATTCTAAAAACACTCTTTTTAAGTTTAAACCTCAAAATCAAACTATCAAAAATTTCAATAATACTTCAAATATTTATAACTAAATAATATAATTAAAACTTTAATGGTATAACTACCATATATATATATTTCCATAAATAATAAACTTTTTAGCTACAATAATTATTTTAAAACTTTCCGTCACCCAATAAATAAAACTACACCGATTAAAATCTCAATAATATATCAAACAACCCAAATAAATTATTTAACTTAAATTTAATCGG